TAGCAGCTCATGGTCCAGCGAGTACTGTTTGTAAAGTAATGTGTGGCATGAATCAGCCATAACATTACTAACATTGCAAATTATATTATTATAATGGAAACACAAAAGGTAATTATTATGTCTAAAACCCAGGACTGAACCAGGACCAAAAGCCCTGGTGGTTGTAATGTTGTGGCTGATGCGTTAGCCAAATAAACACAATATTAACCGTGACCTTTTTCACATTGTGGGAAGGTTGATTTTTGCTCATTTTCAGGTCAAGACAAAATAGTTTCTGTACAAAGCAATGTTTGGACTTCAGCAATTTCAATATTATTCTATTTAAGATTCCTAATACCTCTTTATTGAATGACTGACATTTTAGTAAATTTATTTGGCTGTCTCTGTAATAGCTGCAGTAGTAGAAGTAGTAATAGCAGTAGCAGTTCCAGTAGTAATAGTATCAGTAGTAGTAGTAATAGTAGAGGCAGTAGTAGTAGTATCAATAGAAGAAGTCACAGTATTATTAGTAGTACAACTAGTAGCAGCAGTTGTAGCATCAGTAGAATGAGTGGCAGCAGCATCTTGTGGTCAACATTAGAATTACAGCTCAAAAGTCGTTTATTCCTCTGCACAGAATACACGCAATTTTGCATCAATTTTGAATAAATGATTGTAAAATGCCCCTTCCCCCGCTGAAAAACCATGGCTATGCCACAGAGTAGCCATCCTCCTGTGGACTCACCACCTGCAGGGGGATCAGTGAGGGGTTGGTGCTATGTGTAATGGGTGGCATCTCTGGCCACCCCCCGACCCAGAAATTGATTAAGGGGAAGAAAATGGATGGATGGATGATTGTAAAATGTTTAAACAAAACAAATGCATCCTCCGTCAGTTTTTCAACCCAAGCTGCTGTGGAAAAAATTGCACATTTCTGCAGGTTTGGTCCAAAAGCAATTGGAAAAATAATGAGAATAGGATATGTACATTTTAAAAAAGACAAACTCACTCCTTAAACCAAATGCTATTCAGAATATTTGAACCTTGTGTAATGGAGAAAAAGAACTAATATTGTGATGTTGTGAAACGCTTATAGTAGTAGTAGCAGTAGGGGCAGTTGCAGTTGTAGTAGTAGTAGTAGAAGTAGCAATCACAGTAGCAGTAGCAGTCACAATAGTAGTGGCAGTAATAGAAGTAGTAGTAGCAGTATTAGTACCACCCGCAGTAGAAGTCACTATAGCATTGGCGGCACTGTGGCTGAGTGGCCCGGAACAGGACCTTTCTGAGTGGAGTTTGCATGTTCTCCCGTGTCTGCGCAGGTTTACTCCGGGTACTCCGGTTTCCCCTACCACTAAAAACATGTACGATAGGTCTGGCATGTGCCTCCTGTACTGGCGACCCCGCTCCCATCTCTGTGTGGAGTGTGAGGACAAACGCTTTGTGACTCTGGAAAGGCGGTATATAAAATAAAGATTACAGTCACAGCAGTAGTAATAGCAGCCGTAATAGTAGTAGTAGTAGTAGCATTAGTAGTAGTTGTAGTAAACGCACATGAACCAAATGGTGAGGTTTTTGATTTAAGCGTGAGTTCTGTCTCTGTTTGTGACTCGAGCTACATTTCTGTCTGACTGTTTTCACAAATAAAACTCTAAAATGTCTCCTCAGTTTCTCTGTCCGTCCAGTGAAATGTATCTTTTGAATCACATTTTGTTCATTATGCCTCTGAATTCTTTTGCACTTTTCCCCCACACAGCTGCTCTCAGGCATTTGAAGGGAAGCATGCGTTGAACAGCTACTGAAACCAAAAAGACCAAATGAAATGGCAACTTTGTACACTTTTCAGAAGTATTTCAAGCATAGACAGAGGAAGAATAGTGGACGTGTACATTTAAAGATGGGGTACATAACTATCAAACCACAAAACAAGGTAACCCCACCCTCACTCAGCTTATCAGCTCTACGCCCAAAATAGTCAAATAGTGACTCAAACGGCTCATTATTGCAAAATATGACATGTTTTCTAATTTGTTGTGGTCTGATTTGTTCCCAACATTGTACTTCTTACAAGGCGCTTTCTGTTGAGACAAACAACATATTATCTATGGAAAAAAAAATGAGGTACCCCAGCTTTAAATCAATAATTTTTTAGATAGATTTTACAGGTTAGAAATTGTCAGCTCAAAGTGTCAAATTGTGACTTTCATGGCTGTTCGGAATGGTGTTTTTTAATTTGATGAAGACAACATGAAATACCATAACTCTTTGTTATGAACCCTACTTTCCGTAGAGTAGAGTAGAGCAGAGTAGCGCAAAGTAGAGTTGAGTAGAGTAAATGTCTGAAATTACCAGTCCACTATCCTTGCAGTCCATGCTATTACATACAGTACATAGCTACAGTTGTTCTCCCCTTTGCCTCAGAACAATCCTGGACCTGTGCTACATAAACGCTGACGTTAAAATAAACTTTCGTCTCTTTGAAAATAGCAGAATGTGAGAGCACCAAGTTAGTTTCTTAGTTTAGAGCCAAAACTCTGCATACTTACTTCTTACTTTCTACAGCCTAGGATTGGGTTTACAAAAAGACTTTGTACAAGTCCCACCCGGAAAGTCTCAGGTAGAAAACTGGATGAATGCAGTGAGCTATCGGCATGCGTTCTAAGTTTTTTCTTTTTTACATTAGGGGCGGTACCGAAGCAGGCCACGCTCTCACTGCAGTCTCTCATTACAGCGTGTGCGTCCAATCGTCCCTGAGAATGCAGTGCTTCTAAGTAAAAAGATGTTCAGAATCTAGGCTTATGTTGAGTGGTATGGTATAGAGATGGGTAACATTGCATTTAGTGGCTTGGTTATAAAAATAAATTCATTACAAATTCAATAAAACCCAACCAATTTTTTTTTTTATAGAGGATTTTCTGAGTGCTGACTACAATTACAATATTAGTGTTTATGCTGAGCCTGGCTATGAAGTAAATATAAAGTTAAAACTGCTTTTCAAATTAAGGAACTCAACTGCAGTTGTGAAAATATATTTTGAGGCAAATTCAGTTTAAATCTGTAAAACTATCCATCCATCCATTTTCTTCCGCTTCATCCGTTGCCGGAGCAGCAGTCGAAGCAGAGACGCCCAGAGGCACCATGGCCGCGGATTTCGAGGTGCTGATTCTCATCCCAGCCGCTTCACTCAGCTACAAACCGCCCCAGTCCATGTTGCAGGTCCTGGTTCGTTGGAGCCAACAGGACAACATCGTCCACAAACAGCAGGGATGAAATCCTGTGGTCCCTGAACCGGACCCCCTCCGGCCCCTGGCTGCGCCTAGAAATTCTGTGGCAACGCGAACAGGTCTGACTTACTGCCGGCCATGCGAACGCAGCTCTAGCTCCGGTCATACAGGGTCCGAACGGCCCTCAGCAGAGGACCCCGGAACCCGTACTCACAGAGAACCGGGAGAAAGGACACCCCGGAGAACATGGTCGAACGCCTTCTCCAATCCACAAAGCACATGTGGACAGGTTGGGCGAACTCCCATGAACCCTTGAGTATCCGATGGAGAGTATAGAGCTGGTCCAGTGTTCAATGACCGGGATGAAAACCACACTGCTCTCCCTGAATCTGAGATTCGACCATCGGTCGTAGTCACCTCACCAGTACCTTGGAGTAGACCTTAACGGGGAGGCTGAGGAGTGTGATCCCACAATAATTGGAACACACCCTCCGGTCCCCCTTCTAGTAGAGAGGGACCACCACCCCAGTCTGCCACTCCATTGGCACCGCCCCCGATCGCCACGCGATGCTGCAGAGACGTGTCAGCCAAGACAGTCCTACAACATTCAGAGACTTAAGATAGTCAGGACGGATCTCATCCACTCCCGGCGCCTTGCCACCAAGGAGGCTGCCAACCACCTTGGTGACCTCACCCAGGGAGATAGAAGTATCCGGAGGACGTGACGGAGGGATTGATTAGAACCTCAAAGTATTCCTTCCACCGCCCCACAATATCCCCAGTCGAGGTCAGCAGCTCTCCACCCGCCGGACTGTTTGCCAGAATCTTTTTGAGGCCGTCTGTAAAACTGATTATCTCAAATGTAATTCATGGTTTATTTGTTATATGTTTTCACTATTGTCAGTTAGCTAAAGTTAGCCATATTAGCATCAGGCGCATTAGCTGTTTCTTGTGCAGTAAGAGTACTGGGCCATTTGATTTATTTTTAGATTAACACAGTAGTCCAAACATGTCTAATACGGAATGATGTGTTTACAACATGTTTGCACTGTAATGAAACTAATGGTGGCTTAAATGAATGGAAAAGTTACTGAAACTTAAGAGTTTGCAATATTAGCAATAGCACATTCGTTGTTTCCCAAACAACACAATGCTTGATAATACTGAAAAGACATTAGGTGAACTATTTATAGCATCAACATTTACTTGTTGTAACTGGGATTAAACTATATTTTTTATTAAACACATGGAAAATCAACTGAAGCTTAGGAGTTAGCCACATTATCATTAGCATATTAGTTGTTTCTTGAACACTAAAATTCTTGATAGTTTTATTAGAAACACATCAAGTTAACTATTTATAACATCAAAATACGGTTATAAATGTTATACTGGGATATAACTATTGTTGGCTTCAATACACAGAAAATGAACTTATATTCTCAAATCTACGTTAACATTAGCACATTAGCTGTTTTCCTGACAATAAACAGCTGAATAACTGGACATGATCTCTTTAAAATCTTAATTACTGGGTTTGTAAAATTTCTGCATTTGGCGTGTACAAATCTTTCTTCAAATTGAGCATAGGATTTTAAAATAAGCGAATAAAAGCAAATTAGCCACAATAATAAATGCATTGGTCATTGCTTCATACCATACCACTAAAATTACAACAAGCCTTTCGAAACTTCAGCCAAAGTTTCGCATCTGGATTGTGTAAATTCTTTAAAAAAAAAAAAAAAATCTGAAATTCCTTTTGAAACTTTGGATGCAATATTAATATATATTTTTTTGCGCTCAGAGTCGATGCCTGGAATCATGGCTGTAACTGCCCGGCGAGCTGCGGTTCCTATGCGGTTTGTAAGAGTCTTGGTAGGGGTCCTGGTACTGGTCTTGGTATTGGTCTTGGTATTGGTCTTGGTAGGACTCGCTCTGGTCCCGGCTGTGTTGCGAGCCTGTGGACACCCGGTTGGCACGGTTTCCCTTGTGCGTGCGGTCGTTGTGGTAGTTCTCGTCGGATGTCATGAGGTTACGCCGCTCGTTGGGGGTCGAGTGGTCCCCAGTGTGGTTGTTCTGAGGCCGCGAGGTTTTCTGCTGCTTTGGGATGAGAGGAGACAGGAGTTTGGAATAATGTTAAAAAATGGATCTGGTTAATAGTATAGAGCTGTTTTTATGAAGCATTTACAGCAGGAATGTCAAACTCGGGCTCATGGGCCAATGGTATGATATATGTGCATCAATTGTTTAAAAAAAGCGGCATAATGTATTCTTATGATGAATTCTTGCATGTGTATAATTTCCCAGTATTACCAAAGAAATTTGCAATTATTTTTGAGGCTATAAGGCTGGAAAGCGGAAGTGCGAGATTTTGCGAGATTTCCACCTGCGGATACAAACAAACCACATGGTGCTGAGATCGCCGACTTCTTCCTCCTTAAAGGACTTTCCTGTGTTATTTTGGACACATTTCGTCTCTGGGACAGAAAAACTGAGTGAGCGGTTGGAATTAGCTGTGAACTGACCATGTCCTGAAGTTTATATGACGGGGAGATGAGAAAGGTGCAGGGCCGTGCTCAAACTTATTGTTTTTTAATCCACAATTATACATCAGAAAGACAATATAGAAAAACTATTCCCATGCAAATACATTGATGTCCCTTACAGCTATCTTTGCTGTGTTGGTTATGAGCCAATATTTCTGAATGATCAGTTTTCTATCTGTACATTAGCTCCATCTCCACTTCACATTCATTGCAGCTTCACATTGGGCCTTTTTTCTTTTTGCTGTGCTGTCACAAATAACATGATGTTGTTGGGTTACCTATTCATTTACTACTAATATTATGATTGTCCGTTTTCTGCTATATTTGAACATTTGTTAAATGTTATTTAAAGGGGACATATCATGAAAAATCCACTTTTTGTGCCTTAAATGCCTTATGTTGTGTAGTTGGAGCCTCTAGAAGTGCAAAAAAGTTGAAATCAGTCTCTTCATGGGTTGCAGAGAACACTTCATATTCTGTTTAGGTAAGATTTTTCAACCCGTTCTGATTTAGCCATTCTCTATTACGTGTTTAGAATTATTACGTCACAGTATTTGCAGCGAGACTGCTATATAAGGGCATGGGCGTGTAACAAAACACTTCGGCCCAGCCCTCCTCTACTGTGCATCACTTAATTTGTAGTCCAAGCTCAAGGATGCCAGCGAACAGGGCTGGACTGGCCATCGGGCGTACCGGGCAATGCCCAAAGGGCCGATGCCCATATTTGGGCAAAACACATGTTTATGAGAAGTGTAAATCCGTTGAGAATTGTTCGAGGGGAGCGCGCGTGTCCGCGGGGCACCTGCTGTATGTACTCAAACGGGATTCCGCCACCTCAGCAGCCGCAGTGTTCCGGGGCATCTGCGGCCACTTTGTAATGAGCCGTTCCACCGTGTTGTGGCTGAGCGCGCAGCCTCAACGTGGCCATGTACCCAACCCCATAAACGCGCACAGGACCATGCGTGTCTTTGAGTAATCTGTGCACCCAATAAATGCACTGCTGCAGGAAACAGTCCGCGTTTACATTTTGCATTTCATGAAAAGTTCATGTTTGAGCCCAAAAGTAATATGTTGTGAACAAATTAAACAGATTTAGAGCCAGCAAATGGCTGACAATATGCATGTCAGTCTTTTTTGACCAATTCTCATCCCTGTAACAAACTGTCTATCTATTGTCTGTGTCCACCTCCCTCACTCTGAGACATGTTCATTACTCTCTTGTAATGTAGACTATTGCATTTTATTTTATTGTTGAAACTGCACATATCCTGATCCTCTACAGTATTTGCTTCCACATACTGTATAAACTAGGAGTCGGCAACCTGCAGCACCGGAGGCGCATGCGTCTTTTCCCTTCTGTAGAAGGAAAAACGTTCTTAACGTTTTTAAATGCTGTAAAATTGTGCATAAGTAATATTCAATTTAAAATTTTCTGTCAACGTGTCTGTCAAACCGGCGTGTGAGCATCACTGTGCGCATGGATCCCAAAGCTAAAAAGAGAAGAGTCGATAATAAGACTGGACTAAGAATGAAAATTTACATTTGCTTTCAGTCAATGAGGAAGGCCTGCTTCATGTTTGCGATGTAATGAGAAGTTTCTATGAGATAATTGTATCTGTGCTTAGAAACTACAAAAATGGCCGCTCGGGGTGGAGTTGAACCTATGTCACCTGGATGGGGGGGTGGTCAAAAGCGCCTCATTGGCATTTATAGACGCAACACCAAAACAGGTTGCTCTCAGACGCACCTCAGAACAGGTGTAGAAGAAAGGCCCGTGGAGCTACAAATAATGAGACTCAGACCCAGGCATTGCAGTTACGCTTTATATAGGCCACAAATTAATGATTTAGATGTAAAAATCAATTATTTGAAAACACGATATGTCCACTTTAATATGTGCTAATATGTTCCTCCATTTATCCTGTGTGACAACAATAAAGTTAATCTTATCTTAAAATACAAGCCACAATGAAAGGCTCGGCAGCGCACTACAGGTTAGCATTAGCTACAAGTTAGCTTGAATACATATTCAAGTTAACCATCTGTAAAATCAGACAAAATGTTTTATCACAACTGCATAGCTTTTTACACAGCTTCAGTTGGTCTTTGGGAAACCTAAAAAATGAGCATGCTTCATGTAAACTTTGATGATAACAGCCAAAAACAAAGCAGAGCATTTTGCACCATTCATTTAAACCGTCTCTTCGAACAGCAGGCGGTTTGTTTGTATCCGAGCAATGAACCGGAAGTGCTTCTGGGACGAGACTTTCCAGCCCTATTCCTTCGGGTGTCAAAATACCAATGTCAACCTATGTTCACAATCATACTGTAGATTCATCCCGAGTCATATAATGGTAATTCTGACCCCTTCTTAAGTGTCAAAACAAATAACAAATGTATTAGAGAGCTCATCATAAGAGATTCCATAAGAAAGCCACCATCTGTATTTATATGGAACAATTTATTGTTCCAACAAACAAAAAAATGGGTCATGGGCTGAATCCGGATTAGAAATATACTCTAACTGGCCAATTATTATTTTTAACTTGCAGCATTGATGGTGATGAGCTACCAAGGCATGCTATACATAATCTATTTTCTCAGGAAAACAACCAGATTTAATTCATTCTAAAATTTAAACCCAACACATCCTTAGAAGATAAATAGTTAAAGCGTTAATCCCAATGCATTGAATGGCTATGGATTGAATATTCACAATAAGTACAAAAATAAAGTGTGGTAATCCAGATTTAAATATAAAACTGTGTTAAATTTATATTTGCCCAGTTTTGGATAAATCTAAACAATATATATATATATATATATATTTTTTTTTTTCCCAGAACAAACACTCAAGTCACATTAAAGTCATGTCAAAATACCTCTGTAATCTAAAAATCAATTATAAGAAAAGGAAATCTCTTCCTTCAACTCCCGATCAGTTCCTATTTCTTTTACTCGGCCCCTGACTAGAATGAGTTTGACACCTCTGATTAGTTAAAGCTGCACTAACTTTGAAATTTTCAAATGTGAGCGCTGGCCTCGCTCTTCTGCTCCCCCCTACCCGCACTCACGAAGCTATCGCCCCCCAATACCCCCCTCCCACTCAGCCTGTGCTTGTGTGCTAATTGCATACAGAGCTCACGTCTCACAATATGGATCGCACATTTGAACGTGGATGGCGTGACCATAGAATGATAGAACGAGACTATCTTTTGGATGGCTGTTTCGCTTTGTAAGCAGTAACTGGTTACAAAGACACGGGAAGTTTTAGGTTAGCCTCCGCCGCTTGTTTACCTCAGCTGTCTGTGCGTCCCAACGAGAGACCTGTAGCTTTTCTCAAGAAAGTGGGGGCCAGTGGTCCACTGTGATTGGTCACAATCTGGTCCCGAAACGAATTCTCGTCCTTGTTGCACAAAAACTCAATCTAAAATAAAATGACACGCCAGCACTAATCTGCGCTAAAAGGACGTATATCCCATTGCATTGCATGGATATGTATTGAATTTTTGCAATTAATACAAAAATAAAGTGAGGTAATGCAGCTTTAAGAAGTAGCTACTCTCTGTTTAGAGAGGGACTAGAGAAAGACCAGCGAGCGAGCAGAGTTTGAGGCACAAAAGTGTGGATTTATTTTTTTTAAACGATTTCAAAAGAAAAAGGTTCCCTGTCAGATGAGAACGAGCTGTTTTACTGAACACTGAGGTGTATTGGGAAATCTCCTTACATTCATGGACTATTGCAAGTATTTCATCCCCCAGATGATTGATTAAATGGGCAAACATCTTAAAAACCATAAAATAAATCTCCTAACAGAGAATGGCCCTCATCTTTCTATATACAGTATTAATGTTTGCTTTCTGCATTAAATGTCCTGTACACAAACAACTCTAACCTGCAGTCCGGTCATGTTGGCGGAGTACTGTGTGTTGTTGGTGGGGGCGATGTTTCGTCCCATCAAAGGGTTGAGGGGCGTGGCCATTGAGGTGTGTGTAGCCTTCCAGTATGCCTCCAAATACTCTGCCAAGTGTTCACATGCGTCCTCTAGCTGGTTCTCGTCCAGGATTACATCAAACATCTCCTGCAACACAAGTAGTATGTAGTACTAGTAGTAGTATTATTGATAGAAATGGCAATAGTAGTAGTGGTAGTAGCTTAATATTTACAGTCTATGGGTAGTAGTAGCAATTGTAGTATTAATAGCAGGAGTAGTAAAAGTAGTATCAATAGTGGCAGTAGTAGCAGTGGTAGAGTTAGCAGTAGCAGCAGCAGTAGTAGTCGTAATAGTGCTAGTCGTAGTTGTAATAGTAGTAGTAGTAGTAGTAATTACCGGTGGACATTGAGCCAGTTTGTCTGCAGCCACTAGTTGCACATTGAGATGTTTGCTCTGACTTTTCCCTCTGGACTTCACCAACCGCTGCAGCACCTGCATAAACACATTTACAGTATATGTATATGTTTACATCATACGGCCTCAGTCCTAGATCTACAGCCTCTGTCCTGGATCTACAGCCTCTGTCCCGGATGCAAAGACTCAGTCCTCGATTTACAGCCTCAGTCCTGGATCTACAGCCTCAGTCCTTGATCTACAGCCTTAGCCCTGGATCTACAGCCTCAGTCCTGGTTCCAGTGAGTACCTTTGGAGAGGATACTTTGACGTGGACGATGATGGGGGCCAGAGAGGTCTTGAGGAGCTGAGCTGGGTGGTTAATGGTGTCTGCGTCCAGGACCACGAGCTGCAGAGACCGCGCCAACTCGAAGATCCGCTCGATCTCGCTCTGCACTTCAGCTGAGATAGAGTCCACATGAATACACACGGTTACCCACAGTTACCCACAGAAACAAATGGAAATAGACACAATTCAGGTTTTATAGTATCACCTATGTGTGTGTGTGAAGACTGTAAATATAACAGTAAAAGCTATAGTAGAAGTAGTACAAGTAGAAGTAGAAGTAGCAGTAGTAGTAATAGTAGCAGTAGTAGTAGAAGTAGTAGTAGTAGTAGTAGTAGCAGCAGGAGTAGTAGTAGCAGCAGTAGCAGTGATAGTTATAGTAGCAGCAGCATTAATAGTAGTAGCAATAGTATTAACAGCAGCAGTGGTAGTAATGGTAGCTGTAGTAACAGTAGCAGCAGTATGACTTGAGCTCTCTCCTCATTAGCTTATACTTCTAAAGGGAATGGTACCAAGGCTGGAGCGTGTGTTGGAGCGTTCGATGATGGCTCGTTTGCTTGGGTTGTTGAGAACCGAGCGTTTGGCTAAAGAAATGTCGGCCGTGACGCGAGTGATGGAAATCCTGCAGGAACACAACAATTATAATAAAAACTAATATTTAAACTGATTAAAACTGATGGGTTAGTGGCTCACCTCCCGTCGAATCTGTGTTTGAGGAAGTCGAAGAGAGCTTTCTGCATCATGTCTGTGACCTGCGAAAATATGGACCACATGGTTACAACCAGTTGCTGGTTGCAAATGTAATGATAATAATAATAATAATACATTATTATATCGCCTTACAAAGGGTACACAGTTAAAAAACTGGTTAACAGCAAAAACTGTTTTTAAAAAAATAATAAAAGACTAGAGAGAAAGGTCGGAGAGAGAGACCGGAAAGAGAGGCTAGAGAGCAGAGAGAGAGCAGAGAGAGACCATATAGAGAGACTAGAGCGAGAAATTATAGAGAAAGACCAGAGAGAGAGCAGAGATCTTTAATTAATTTCCCATATTAACATTTTCTCTAGACCGTATTAATACATAAGTCTGACCTCGTATCCTTTGAGGGAGGGGCCCACCAGAACCACAGGTCTCATGGAGGGGACGACGTCATAAGGTGGGACATGCTCTGTCTGTCAATCACCCAAACAAACAGCCAATCACAAAACAGGACCCAAATCTCCCACAGAAAAACTCAGCAAGAGCCGGTGTTTACATGTGCAGAAAATGAACATATTCACGTATTAACAAGAGCTGTGCTAGTAAAGAAAACTAACTTAGAGGCAATACTTTTTGTTTAATAGACAGAAGGAGCGGGGGGAAGTGTTTGAGGCAGAAGTTCTTGATATTACTTACACTGTAAAGAATTTCCTTGTAGAAAAACGGTAAATAGCTGGCAAATATGGTTCCAGGAATATACCGTTTTCTCAACATGGCATTACCGTTGCTAATTTTAACGGTTAAAGACTGTTTCACTGAATCACATTATGCCTTTGTGATTTCAGGATTTAACTGTATGTTCCTGTTGATTCACATACTTCAAAAACAACATTATAATGTTAATTTTGCATTATTGCACCATATGACTGTTTCTGTTTCTAATTAGTTTAATTGAACAATAAACTACACAGTTTAATTTGTTTTACTGTAGTAAACACAACTTTTCAATAATTTTATTTAAGTAGTTGAATTCTTTACTTCGATAACATGCTTAATTCAAAAGTATCATTTTGACAAAAGCAGGAGTTTACATGTGTAAGAGGTAGCTTTTACACTCATGGTTGCTCGCTAGAAAAAAGTTTATGTTAAATTACAGTAATAACACCATAAAATCACAATGTGATTATTAATCACATTGTGATTTTATGGTATTGTAACGTTTTTTTGTAATCACGTTATAATTGTGGTAATAAAACGCCACTGGATGTTTTTTAACCAATTTATACTTAAATTTGCATGTTTGAAATGTTTTTCAAAATAAAATTTGTTTAATGTTGAAATTTCATTGTAATTTTACAGAAATTTGTTACAGTGTATGCTAGAATAAAGAAACGTGTGTGCATCAACAACTGTTAATGTGAACCTGATAACATCTATGATAATTTGCAGCATACTGTATGTAAATGGATGCAATGTTAGCTACAGATGATGAACCAAAAGTGTTCTTAAAGTGTTCTCAAACCAAGATGTAACTGTGTTTTAATTTTGTCTTTTAATAATTGATAATAATAGAGTAGAATAGAGGACCCTATTGCCTAGAACCAGGACCAGTATTAGTCCTGGTCTAAAGCCGCGTTCAGACCGGATCATGTGTTGTGGCAACTTTCAATGCAAAGTCAATGGTGATGCGTGTTCGAGCGTGGAACTGCTGTGCGCCTCGGGATGCACGCACGGACTGCGCAGCAAAGGCGCAGGAGCAGTAAATCGACGCACGCAAGAGATAAACATTGCTGAACGTTTCCTCGGGACGCTAGTGCAGCGACCAATCAAATAGCTGCAAAGTAGTCACGGGGACGTTAGCGGTCTGAGCGAGCTGACTGAAAATACTCACAAACAGCCAAAACAAGACCAGGACTAAACCAGGGTTGACAATGGGGGACACAGTGCTTGTGACCATGCTCCCGTGACTGTATACAACTGCTTCGAGCGAGTTGGCTGATGCGGAAGTTCTGTTTAATAATAAAATAAACTTATGGTGCACCTATGTGAACACATACTGCTGTTATATAAAGTCTCTGGAAGGTCTCTGGACACAGAGACGCTGCAGAACTTTACACAAAATCCGCTAGCTTAACTCCGTTAGCATCAAAGTATGCCCGTACTTCCGGCGGGCGCCACCGCGTCTGAAAGTTAGAGAATGTGCATCTGATGCGCGCTGAAGCTGCATCAGATGCACTGCACTGGCTTCCTGAGGCTCAGAGAATACACTGTAAAAAAAAAATACTGTAAAATTTACAGAAAAATATTGTAAAATTGCAACATAATATTAATGTTAGTATGAAAACAATATGTTTTGTGATTTTTGTGTGTGATTTTGCTGTGATTTCAAATGCTGTAAATTTATTTACATATATTTTCCGTAATTTGCTTTACAGTGCAATCGTATTTTGTTCTGGTGACAGAAGTTGCCAGAATTTTATTGTAAAATCCAGTGATTTCTTTTTTAACAGAGTAGATTTTAAAGCAGTTCTGTTTGTGTACAAGTCTCTCCATGGCCTTGCACCAAAGTTCATTTGTCTCTCTCTTTGTCTCTTCAGTCTCGCTCTCTGATCTCTCTTTGGTGTCTGATCTCTCGCTCTCTGGTCTCTCTCTCTAGCCCCTCTGTCTCTTTGGTCTCTGGTCTCTATCTAGTCTCTCTCTCTGGGCTCTGCCTGGTCTCTTTCTCTGGTCTCTGTCTTTAGTCTCTCTCTCTGGTCTTCCCGTAGCCCTCAGTCCTGCTCTTCTGCAGCTTTATTTCACAGAGTGCACGCAGCTTTTGACAGCTGTAGCAGCGCTCAGACCTATAACCGGTGTGATATCTCAGGCCTCTCCCTGAGCTCTCTCACTTCAGCAGTCGTGAGTTCAAGTGGTTAGAAAAGTGTATAAAGTGTGTGTGACTCTACAGCTTTAACACATACAGCTGCTACTTCAACAATCTCACTTATTATGGGTTATTTTTTAGAACACATTACCCCTGTGATATAAAACAGGGACTACTGTACAGTTTGTCCACATTTTTTGAGACACAAAGCAACAGGCTTCTGGAATCCCATTTTGGTTTGAGAACACGAGAAAATATTTTTTTTACCAGGACCAACTTACCACTTTCTGCTTCTGCTTCCCTGTGGGACAGAGCACAAGGATCTGTGTCAGTTCAATGTAATGGCTTCTGCAGCCTTTATCATAATTATTCACATGCTTTCAAAATGTCAGGTTTTTTTATACGGTGGTCAGGAAGGCTCAAGAAACACCACAAATACACATACTCAGTAAGCAACGAAAGCATGAGGGCATAACCTAGATTGGTTATACATCCATCTGTTAAAATTAGGGCTGTCAAATGATTACACTTTTTTTGTTGATTAATCACATAGCAATGGCGAGTTAACTCACGATTAATCACATTTTTAACATTCTATTTCAATTAAAGTTAAATGAGATTATCAAATGTAATGACACATTGTCATTCATACCAAATGTACTTAAATCTGTTTGATTTGCTCACAACCTTTTACTTTTGGGCACAACCAGCATGAGCTGTTAATGAAAGAGAAAATGTACGTACCCCAGCTTTAATTTAGCGAGTTTAGTTGCGTTTTAGGAGGAGACACTGACACTTCCTCGGGCTCCATAGTTCCGCTGTAGCTGTGTATTTGTGTGCACAGGTTACGCAAAATCACCCACACGACATGCAGAGAATAGTTCTGTGCATGTACAGTATGGTCTTGGACCCAGTGGTGTTCCAAGGGTACCCCGGGGCCCCAGGCAACCGAGTCCTTGGGGGCCCCGATACGACCACATAACCACATAAAAAGGTTTATATTACAGTAGGTATGAATAAATATATATTTAATAATAAGGTAAAATGCAATATCTATTACTTGTTTACATTAATATAAATTAAATGTAGATAATTTCTTATTTTTAACAATAAATGGATGGCCTCGGGCCGGCCTGGGGCCTGCCTGGCATACTGTACAGTCTACCATAGAAAATTGTGAGTACTTCAGTACTTAGTGTGACACAAAGCAATGAGAAATAATTTAGCATGTCTTTTTATAAGCTTGTTCACTACACTCATCATGTTATAATTAATTACAAAAACTAACTTTCAAAGTGTATTAATCCTACAAAATCTAAGCTTTCATTTGGACCTCAGTGTTTATAGAGTCTAGATTAAAGATTAGGCTCTTAGCTTTAATCTGCAAAATGGCTTGTTTTTACCTTTTACCGTTCCTGAGCAATCTGTCATATAACATAATATATAGTTTAATCCAAAATAACGCTCTCCTTCGGATTCAAACCCAGGCCTCCGCGTTGCAAGCTCTGCAACTTAACCACTAGACCAGTGTCTCCCAAAGTGGGGTCCGCGGCCCCCTGGTGGGCCGCGAGGGTACTGCAGGGGGGCCGCGGGAGGTCATAAAAAAAAATTAAAAACATTATTTAATGTTAAATTTATAATGTTTTGTTTGTAATATTAAAATATTTGTGTTCATTATTTGACTTGAATAATCCACTGTAATCATTTTTGTATTACAATGTTTGTAGCAGAGACTATTTCCCCAAAATAAAATAACCAGAAGAGCCTATTCTTAATGTTGTCTTCTTGGTTATTATTTTGGGGGGCCACGCAGACCCGTCAGATTTTTAAGGGGGCCTCGCTGTTACTGAGTTTGGGAATGGCTGCACTAGACCACTATTACATTCAATACAGAAGCTGCCCCAGGCAGGGGTTTTAACTGTTAATGAAGAACGTGGCAAGTTTTGCATCAGACAAAAACTTTTTTGCGCCAACTCGTCACTGCAGGTAGCTGTTGTAGCCTGTACAAGTTGACCGCTTGTGTCAAATCCGTCATCCCTCGGTGGCCCCAGGCAGCTGCCTGCCTTGCCTATTGGCCCGGGACACCACAGCTTGGACCACGGTCCCGCACACCATTGTTAGAGGCTCACAGCCGCCGAAGGAGGGAACCGCTCTCCAGAGCGGCCGCCGCAGCGTATTCTATTAAAACATGTATTCCCATGAGAGGGACAACCTGCTCTGTTGCCATCTACACACGCATGTGTCCACGGCATTCTGACTGTTATTATGGGATACATGGGCGGGTCATTTGGACATGCGTTAAATGCGTTAATTAATATGAATGAATATGTGATAAACGTGAGTTAACGCAATAATTTTGACAGCCCTTAAAACCCAACATAAGCACAAGCTAGTAAGGTAAAAAGACATTATTTTGCATCAGTATTATACTGTGTGCGTGTGTGTGTCTGTCTGTCTGTCTGTGCGTTTTAACCAGCTTCTTGTGTGTTTCCTTGAGCCTTGGGGGCCACCGTACATCTCTAACACAGTCCTATGTTACATTGTGACGGCGGATCAGCTCGGGGCGTGGGTCTCTGAAGCCTGCGCCCTCTACTGGAGAAGAGGAGGAACACACTACAGCTATTATAAACTATACTCTTAGCATCTATCTACAGTGACATGGAGGCGGGACAACATCTTGAGTAACACTTGTGAGAGCAGATGGTGGGGAAGACTAGTCCACACAAAAGTCAAGTTTGTAAATGAATATTTTGTTAATTAAAGCAGAGAAAGCATGCAGCCTTCAGTGTAGTATGGTTTGTCTGGTTTAAAGTGATTGTCTGGAGTTTGTCAGAAAAAAAGAGAGAGAGGTTCTTGATTTGAAAAAAAACGACACAAGCTCCCTCCCCCTTCCTTTCTGATTGGTCTACGCCTATGTAACACATTTAAATGTTAATCGTAAAATACATTATAAATATACATTGTTAATACACATGCACAGAGATTTTCAGAATTATTTGTAAACGTTTTCATGAAAAAAAAATGTTTTTATGTACAAAAAAATGTTTTTATGTACAAAAAAAGCGATTGCGGCAAACCCGGAAGTAGCTTTTATCATTAATTGCACATTATAGAACACATCTGCAGAGGATCTGATTATGGATATACTGTAGGTTCAGTATATAAATGGGTAACTCAGCGCGGATGTTCAGAATTCTTTGTTCAGTTTTCATGTAGTTTCAGAGCCTAACGGAGGCTTGATTCGGAGGCTCCGCAAAAGCAAACAATTGAGCATGCGTGCAGCTACAAGCATCAGCGCAATGATTGATAGCCCTTGGCATGATTCGATTGGTTAATGTGGACGGTATCGTGGATTCTGAGCTATAGCCAGTGGTGGCGGGTTACGGCTCAAAAGTGGCCAAAATGACGTGCGCTGACATGCTTGCAATACCACCCCGGGCCGATGGGGGTGGACCCAGAAGAAGAATGAGCCAATGCTAACATATACCTTTGGCAGACCTCTCAAAATCCTCTTTACAGGATGGACCAAAAGTTGGCTCTTGGCCCAAAGCTCCGTTCCACATGTGTATCAATGCTGAGGGGGGTGAATTTTTTTGGTCCACTCTAGTTTACTTGCTGTGAATTTTTGAAGTCTCTCGTTCAAATGAATGGAGCTCTCGCCGGCTGATGCATGCGCAGATGCGTTTTTTCCCAATTTTCTTGTGGGCGGGACCACTCACGGCCATTTTGGATAGCTCCGGTAGAGCACATTTTTTGGCCCATTAGTTAGAACAGCAGAGATAGGCGGGACTCTGTCCGCTAATATATACAGTCTATGGCTATAGCTAAGAGAAGGGAAGGCGGGACTTACCCGTAATATTAGAATTAATAAAATGAATTATTTTATATCAACATTTAAGGCCAGGAGGTCAATTTAATATATCCATCCATCCATCCATCCATTTTCTTCCGCTTTATCCGTTGCCGGGTCGCGGGGGCAGCAGTCTAAGCAGAGACGCCCAGACTTCCCTATCCACACACACTTCCTCCAGCTCGTCCGGGGGGACCCCAAGGCGTTCCCAGGCCAGCTGAGAGACATAGTCCCTCCAGCGTGTCCTAGGTCTTCCGCGGGGCCTCCTCCCGGTGGGACGTGCCCGGAACACCTCCCCAGGGAGGCGTCCAGGAGGCATCCGGAACAGATGCCCGAGCCACCTCAACTGGTTCCTCTCGACGTGGAGAAGCAGCGGCTCTACTCCGAGCTCCTCCCGTGTGACTGAGCTCCTCACCCTATCTCTAAGGGAGCGCCCAGCCACTCTGCGGAGGAAGCTCATTTCGACCGCTTGTATCCGCAATCTCGTTCTTTCGGTCATTACCCAAAGCTCATGACCATAGGTGAGGGAGGGAACGAAGATTGACCGGTGAATCGAGATCTTTGCCTTTCGGCTCAGCTCCCTCTTCACCACAACGGTCCGATACAGCGACCGCATCACTAAATTTGAAGAATTTAATATAATTCTTCAAATTTGTAATTCATTTAGAGTTTCAGACTATCACTTTAAGTCATATAAACATATTTATTACAGATAAAAGAGTGGCTTCATGCATTAGCAGTCAAATAAACTGATCCAGCTGTTCTCAGAGGTCTTTATTATTAAAAGCACAACACTGGCGCTGTATGCACAATATGTCAAGGTTAAGGTAAATTGGTGTTTTGTGTATAGGGGAGATTATAGACAACCCATGCATCCCATGCATAGGCTGTATATAAATGGACAAGGCTAACCCGCTAGCTCAACGAAGCCCAATGGGGAAAAGCTCATGGATGAAGTTTGGCTCCAACTCACTCCTGTTGACTTACATGTAAAAGTAAACTCCTCTCGTTTATTAACTGTTTGTGTCACACTCACCATTTTGGGATTAAAAATATCTGGTTTAGTGTTCTCTGTGATCCTGGTGTTTACCACAGAGAGAGACCGGAGAGAGACCAGAGAGAGAGAGTAGGGAGAGAGAGACCAGAAAGGGGGACCAGAGACAAAACAGTTAAATCCAGATATGAGCCATATAAGCATTAATCAATCAGATACCTTCATTCATGGGGAAACTCAGGGTTGCCTTGTGGAACAGTATTGTAAACCGTTCCTATAATTAGGCCGAGCCAATACGTAGTATTGGGGAGGCCTATTGTTATTCGTTGGTTTCATATTATTAGGCCGAGCCAATACGAAGTATTGGGGAGGCCTATTGTTATTCACCGGTTTCATATTATAATACTTATTTTTTTTCCGCAACTTCTATTCAATTTTTGACCCTGAAGACATGCACAACAGTCTGCACATGGGGGGTCTAAAACGACCGGTTCGGCGAAACATTTGATAAAATGAACGTTTCCAGATTGTCCGACGCTCGCCGACTCTATAACGCCCCCTAGAAATTTCATTTTTTTTGACCCTCTGGGGATTCTTTTTCACATTTTTGAGTAGGTACACGAAATTCGGATGAGTGATAGATCTCTATGAGACGAGCATAAAAGCCGTTCTAAGCACATGTCTGGGACCAACAGGAAGTCGGCCATGATGGGCCAAAGTTTCGCCACTAATTTGACTTTTCATTTAGAAATTCGAACTAGTCCCTGGTTTTTCATCACACAGAGTTCTACCACGTCATTTCCTAATCTGGACGGATTGAAGTTATATAATCATCAAACAAAAGTTAGAAAATCTTCACCGTTTTTGTCCCTCGCCATGGCGAATAAGGCCTTCGTTTTGGCCATTTTCGCTGAGCCCTGAGGGCCACAAGCTCAGACCTACAGAGCTGAGACTCACATCAGTAATATTAGGTTATGGCCTGAACGCAATGACACTAAAATCATTCGCCCAATATGAGCTCTTTAGCGCCACCTGTCGGAAAGTAATAGGGCACTAGTGCTCGGATCGGCCCGAAAATCGCTGAGTGTATTTTCTGGACCGAGACGAGCAAAACATTACATTACGCAAAAGTTGTAAGTCCTACACCTGACCACTGGGGGCGCCTGAAAAATGAATGAAGGAGCTTTTTGGGGCAAAATGTTTGTCCGATGAGGCTAAAAATGAATTCAGAAATACAGCGTATGACCCTGAACACAACGATATGCAACACACAACTGTGAGTGCAACAGCGCCACCTACAGGCAGTTCAATGTGTTGCATTTTTGGCTTCGTACTAGTCCCTGGATTTTCATCGCACAGACTTCTACCATGTCATTTCTCCATCTGGACCAATTGAAGTTATGCAATCATCGCATAAAAGTTAGAATTTTGTTATCGTTTTCATGCGAGGTAGTGGGGAATTTCTCCATGTTTGATGCTCTCCTGACCACAGGCTCAGACCTACAGAGCTGAAACTCACATCGCTAATAGTTGGTAATGGCCTGAGAGTAATGGTGTGAAAACACACACCTAATATGACTCTACAGCGCCACCTATGGAAGGCTTCTGACCTAAACTTTTCCGATCCTCACCAAAGTTGCAAAATCAAATCTTTACATCTGTACGAGCAAAATACTACTCTACGTAGAGGGTGCATGTCCCGGAGGTGACCACTAGGGATGCACTTTATCATATAAATGAGCTTTTATATACGTAATCCTGGTCAGATCGGGCTGCCAATTCGTCTGCGTGACGCTTGTGGGACTGGCGCCCAGGAGGCGGTCGCAAGAGGGGCGAGGCCTTTCATCGCCGCTTGCGGCTTTAATTATTCTTTTACCGCCGAAACAATTCGATTTTTGACCCTGAAGACATGCACGAAAGTCTGCACATGGGGGGTCTAAAACGACCGGTTCGGCGAAACATTTGATAAAACGGACGTTTCGAGATTGTCCAACAAAAAGCGAATCAATAGCGCCCCCTTGAAAATTCAAAATTTGCCATTTCTATTGGAGGCAGGATTGCATATTTTGGAGTAGGTACACAAAATTCGGATGAGTGATAGATCTCTATGAGACGAGCATAAAAGCCGGTCTAAGCACATGTCTGGGACCAACAGGAAGTCGGCCATGATGGGCCGAAGTTTCGCCACTAATTTGACTTTTCATTTAGAAATTCAAACTAGTCCCTGATTTTTCATCACACACAGTTCTACCACGTAATTTCCTAATCTGGACGGATTGAAGTTATATAATTATCAAAAAAAAGTTAGAAAATCTTCAGCAAAAAAAAGTTAGAAAATCTTCACCGTTTTCGTCCCTCGCCATGGCGAATAAGGCCTTCGTTTTGGCCATTTTCGCTGAGCCCTGAGGGCCACAGGCTCAGATCTACAGAGCTGAGACTCACATCAGTAATATTAGGTTATGGCCTGAACGCAATGACACTAAAATCAATCGCCCAATTCGAGCTCTTTAGCGCCACCTGTCGGAAAGTAATAGGGCACTAGTGCTTGGATCAGCCCGAAAATTGCTGAGTGTATTCTCTGGACCGAGACGAGCAAAACATTACATTACGCAAAAGTTGTATGTCCCACACCTGACCACTGGGGGCGCCGGAAAGTTAATGAATGAGCTTTTTGGGGCAAAATGTTTGTCCGATGAGGCTAATGAATGAAGAAATACAGCGTATGACCCTGAACACAACGATATGCAACACACAACTGTGAGTGCAACAGCGCCACCTACAGGCAATTCAAGGTGTTGCATTTTTGGCTTCGTACTAGTCCCTGGATTTTCATCGCAATGACTTCTACCATGTCATTTCTCCATCTGGACGGATTGAAGTTATGCAATCATCGCATAAAAGTTAGAATTTTGTTATCGTTTTCATGCGAGGTAGTGGGTAATTTCTCCATGTTTGATGCTCTCCTGACCACAGGCTCAGACCTACAGAGCTAAAACTCACATCACTAACAGTTGGTAATGGCCTGAGAGTAATGGTGTGAAAACACACACCTAATATGACTCTACAGTGCCACCTATGGAAGGCTTCTGACCTAAACTTTTCCGATCTTCACCAAAGAGGGTGCATGTCCCGGAGGTGACCACTAGGGACGCACTTTATCATATAAATGAGCTTTTATATACGTAATCCTGGTCAGATCGGGCTGCCAATTCCTCGGCGTGACACTTGTGGGACTGGCGCCCGGGAGGCGGTCGCTCGAGGGGCGAGGCCTTTCATCGCCGCTTGCGGCTTTAATTTAATTTTGTTGTCCTGGACCTCTAGGTGTGAGTGTGTTTGTGTGTGCGTGCTTGTGTGTGTGTGTGTGTGTTTGAAATTAATAAACAATAAACAAACACAGAAATTGTGCAATGGACACCAGGCTTCAACCTCTGAGGACAGATGTAACAGAACAAAAATATCCATTTACAAAAGAGTGTGGACACCATACCCGCCGCTCCTCTAGCCCCTCTCACCTAGCCTCCCCCCCCCCCCCCCCCCCCCCAGACCCTGGCCCCTCACCTGTGGAGGATATGAGCGGCCTGATAGAAGCAGAGACCTCGTCCTCTACACTGGAAGAAGAGTTCCCCCCAGACTTACTGCACAGAGCGAAGAGAAGAGAAGGCCTGGCATTAATGCACACACACACCAAGGCTAAGGCTAACATGCTACTGCTTACACAGGCTAAAGCTAACACACGCCAATGCCAACACAGCCACAAAGACACTGCGAAAAAACGCTTTGAACACCAAGACCAAATACTATGAGAGAAAACAATGGTTGACATGTAAAACATTTTTTGTACATATTTTAAGGTGCAGGAGAGTCCCATGGATCTATAATAATAACCGGATAGGGTATTACTAGCTTATAGCTGTCCCAACCATGGGCAGAGGGGGCGCCCGCGGTACTGCAGACTAAATTCACATGGGCTGCCCAGAAAAAAGTCCCATAGAACTCAATGTAAACTAAAACAGCTCGACCTCAGCTGACAGAGAACCTACAGCTTTCATAAAGATCGGATTTTGTGTGGATTTTAGTGTCCCTTGTCATCCTGAACTTTTTTTCTTCTTAAATCCTTTGGTTTTCTTTAAATCCACACTTTACTGCCGCAAACTCCGCTCTACCGCTGCTCTGATCAGCAGCGCTGATTGGTCAAAGCACAGTCAAACCCCTCTGCACGTGCATGAGACACGCACGCGTATTCGGCGCAACGCATCATGGGAGCTCGTCCACTGCACTGAACCGGGAGGACCAGACGATGCACAAATATAGGCGAGTTCTGCTAATCGCCCGTGAAGTCCCATGCGCTACTGAGCACAAGCCATTCATTTGAATAGGGCACCATCTTGGATCACCGGGGCTTGGAGAGTCCACACTTTTGTCACAGGTGTTAACACACGCTAAGGCAGGGGTTGGCAACTATAAAAGGTCAAAGAGCCATATTTGACAAAAAAAACTGAAAACAACATCTGTCTGGAGCCGCAAAAAAAACAACAGGCTTGTATAAGGCTTATATGAAGGTAACACAGGCTGCAAGTCATATTATCTATAATAGCCTAGGCCCTGATATCTCAGATTCAGATTCATTTATTTGCCATTTGCAGTAAAACCACATTGGAAAAACTGTGCAAGACTACCCCGGTGTGCATCTAAATGACAAAGTAAAGGCTAAAAATACATAATAAGCATTCATGATTATCAAATTGTATTTTCGCTACAGCGTGTCCTGGAGAGAATGACACACCACGTGGCGACTGATTTAAGTTTAACTTCCATTTTTTGCCTTCATGTAATTGTAGAAATACAGTAAATAAATCTGCTTTTAGGCTCAGAGTTCACACACCTGCACCTGCTGTGCACTGTGTGTTCATATTGATCACATCACAGGCTGAAGTTTGCTGGAGCTGAATTAATGTCCTTAATGGCCCTTTCTTTCACCGTCTTTGCGGAGGTTTTTGAAGTCTGAAGTACTCTGAATTTTTGATGAATGAATCCTTCTGTGAACGGTGTTTTGCGCTTCATTGTTCCTCGTGTGCAACAAAACTTCTCATTACAACGCAAACATGAAGCAGTCCCTCCTCATTGACTGAAAGCAAATGTTCATTCTTATTCTTAGTCCAGTCTTTTTATCGACTCTTTCTCTTTAAAGCTTTGGGATCCATGCGCACACGCCAGTTTGTTTACAACAGCGGTTGCCTGGCGCGGGGCCGCCTCACAGGATGACACACTACGTTGACAGGAATGTTGAAATTGAATTTTACTTATGCACCTTTTCACAGCATTTAAAACCATTAAGAATGTTTCTCCTCCTACAGAAACCACATTCAAACTAAAAATAAAATATAGCCCTTCAAGTCCATTTTCAGACATTTTTGAAAAGGCTTCCGGAGCCACTCGAGGAGCACTAAAGAGCCGCGGGTTGCCGACCCCTGCGCTAAGGCTAACACATTTGAGTAGAGCAGTCTCATTTTCCTGCATTTTTGTAAAGCCTTTGAATAATATGAGGGACACAAATCACATTTTATTGCAATGCTTGCTGTATTGCAATATGTTAAGAATCACAATAATATTAAATTGTGGCTCAAATATCGCAATGCCATCATGCCATCAAATCGTCACATTTTTGCCAATTCCCACCCCCGGTTTTAATATCAAATAGAATCGTGTCTTGCTGTATGCAGCCATCCTGAATATTATCACATATTTTTGGCATAACTTAACAAAACATTCACTCAGATAACAGAAGACTTAAAGCTGCACTAACTGACTTTATTTTTGTATTCATTACGAAAATGCTATCCATGTCCATGTAGTGCATTGGGATATACATCATTTTGAAGAAAAAGTAGCGCAGATTTGTGCTGGCGTGACATTATATTTTAGATCGAGTTTTGATGAAACAAGGAAGAGAATGTGTTTCGGGTCGCGGATTGTGACCAATAGCAGCGCACCACTAGCCCCCACTTTCGTGAGAAATCTACAGATCCGTTAGCATAGACAGCTGAGTTAGCACAACAAGCGGCGGAGCTAACCTGAAGCTTTGTGTGTCTTCGTCATCGGTTACTGCTTACACAACGAGACAGCCATCCAAAAGAAAGTCCCGTTCCTCCGCGCTTCCCGGTTCTATCGTTCTATGGTCACGCCATCCACGTGCAAATCCATATTCGTGTATTATCCATATTGGGATACGCTAACTCCGTCCCAACAGTGGGTGTGTGTGGGGGGCGATAGCTTCGTGGGTGCGGGGAGGGGAGCAGAAAGAGAGAGGCCAGCGAGTCTGCTGCTTCAAAATCCCAAAGTCAGTTAGTGCAGCTTTAAACCTACATATATATTTATTTAGCCTCGCCTAAAATTTTCAATTTCTAAAGGCCCTAAAAAAGGCATACTTCATAGTAAGTTCACAATATTCAAACCCTATGGTCATTGTGTTGTTGACAACAACTGTCTAAAGTTTCAGACTTCTAAGTTTTATAGTTTTTATGCAGTTTCTCCTTTTCATGAAGTAGTGCACATAGTGCCAAATTGTGCCAAATTGCTTTACTGACATTGAATCATCATAAAAACTATATTTTGTATTATCGATACCTATAAGTTGCTAATCTATGTGTTTTTTTTTTTTTTTTATGTCAAAGTTATTTTTTTATGATTGTAAATTCATTGCAGCTTCGAGGGCGTCTTTTGACTGCCATTACGCACAATTCTACAGGCACAAAATAAGACAGGACACCATTGTCCCACCCCTTAATCGGAAACGTCCCTCATTGGCTACACGGACATGTCAATCAAACGGCCAAGAAATAGATGCAAAGAAGTAGGGAAGACAACAAAGATCAGTGACCCATGCGCAAACAGCAGCCGCTAGCAGTACTCACAGGAGCTGTTGCGGACCCAAAAAAACTCCTAGCTCTTCGGGAATAGTCTCATTTGAAAGATAAGGAGTAGCTGAACATGTGGATACCAGTTGTTTCGGTGAAAAACAAAGCTAAAAGTCCGTTAAAAGTGAAAGAGAAAAATCTGTGCTTTTTTTTTTCTTTTTTTTTGCTAAAGATAAATTCACATTTTTGGATTATTTCTGCAGAATGGATTATACTTTGGGAAATACAAGTGGATATTATTATCCTTTGGACTGTTCCTGAGAGAAAGATGTATTGCAAGCTGGGAGGAGATCTGATTTATTTATGCAGCACAAGGCCAAAGGTAAAAAACTTATTGGAAAGTGATTTATTTTGTGCCCACATTATGTGTTATATCTTTTGAATGCAAAGTCTGATGTAGTTTACACTTGTAATATAAATGTAGATAAGAAAATAAGCTTTAAAATTATATACAGCTTTTGGGGTTTGGTGTTCAAAATGCATCTGCTATTGCCAGCAGAACATTTTAAAAATAGAGAGAAAGAGGTTAGTCAGTGCTAAAACTAACAGTTTATTGAAAGGCTAATGCTAAAGACTAAATTCAGGATTTAACCTAGTGAGCTTGACTGTTATTTGTCAAGTGACCAAAAATGGCTACAATTGAATTTCACATTCAAATGAATGGAGCAGTCAAAATTCCTTCTCCGAGAGAAAAAGGTGGAACTACTCACATTTGAAAAAGAAAAGATATACAATTATTTTCTTTTTGTTATAATGAAAATAATGACTTTTAAATATTGAAACAGGCAAAGTAAAAATTAAACTTCTAAAACTAAAAGCCGTCAAATAGACTCTGGGAGTTCTTGTGTTATGTACCATGCTAAATGCATAGCTACGATGGCAGTGAAAGTATACATATTAACGATATTGGACAACATTAATAATAATAATGATAATAAAAAATCATTATAATAGTAGTATTTTAACAGTATCTTGACAGTATTTTAACAGTATCTCACCCTTGCACTCGTCCCCTCTTCTGCTCCTGCTGCATCCGGATGTTTTCCAGTTTGAGAGGACTCGGGATGAAGCCGATCTCACAGCCCTCCTTCACCAGGCGCCCAATCCACCAGTCGTTGTTGAACTTCTGCAAAGAAAATATAGTAGAAATATTCAGAAAACCAGATCAGAGAATGATTCACACTGTTGTTAACTTTTTATCTTGTTTCGACAGGGTTTTAACCAAAAAACACCAGGTCGACAGAGACCGGTGAGTGTGTCAAAATTATTCAGTCTTTACTTCGACTACACAGGTTCTAACAACACGGCAACCTTTCCAGCTGTTGTCCCAGTAGTAGCCTACTAGTACTGAATACCACTACTGTGACCACTAGTTCAGTGTCTTTCAACCACTGTGCACACTAGTGTGCCGTATGATATTGTCTGGTGTGCCGTGCGAAATTTGCCTGCTTTGTCTAAAAATAACAGCATTCGCTGTTGGCGAGCGCTGACTTGTTTTGAACTGTGGAGTAACCATGTAATACTTTTTCATATCAGTAGATGGCAAGCAGATTGCTAAGTACTTTGATTTTTTCAAAGAAAACAGTGTGCCTTGACCCATATGTCCATAGTCTGCATATATCTGTTTATACCTCTACTTTGAGCCCGTTTTTCACTCTCTTCTTTTCTTTGGCGTATGGCTGCACCTGACGACAAAAACACGTCCACCTATCTCTCACACTTTCTAAGATGCAGCCTATTGCAGCAGGGTTCAATGATGACAATTTTTATTAAGTTTAATGCATACATATTTCAATCTTTCGTGATGGGAAATACTTAGCAGAATAATAAATATGAAACTTTTTTTTTTTTTTTAAAGAATGCAATTTTGCACCCCATCCTGCAGATGGCGCCCCAAACGACCACCTGGGTCGCCTATGCTCTGGGCCAGCCCTGATCTGTATACAGCCTATGTTAGCTTTGTTCACCTGTATCATAGACTGTATATATTAACGGACGTAGTCACGCCTATCTCCGCCGTTCTAACTAATTGGCCAAAAATTGGGCTTTCGTGGAGTGATTTAGAATAGCCGCGGGGCCTGGAAAATGTGAAAAAAACGCCTCTGCGCATGCGTCAGCCGGCAATAGTCCCATTAATTTAATTGAGTGACTTCAGGGCGACAGTAGCTCAGTTGGTAGAGCATTGGTCTTAAGGCCAGAAGGTCGTGGGTTCATTTCCCACCTCTGCACCTTCTCCATCGACTCCCACTGATGACTGCTGTCGTTGTGTTCTTGGGCAAGACACTTAACCCCACTTTACCCAAAGCCCCAACTGAAAGATCAAGGCTATCCTCACACTCAGAGAGCAGCCGTCCTCCTGTGGACTCACCACCTGCAGAGGATCAGTGAGGGGCTGGTGCTATGAGACTTGGGTGGCATCTCTGACTGCCACCCCCCTGACCCAGAAATGGATTAAAGGGTAGAAAATGGATGGATGGACTTCAAAAATTCACAGCGAGTAAACCAGACTGGTCCAAAAAAATTCACTGCCCTCGGCATTGACACACATGTGGAACGGAGCTTTAGGTCAAGAGCCAACTTTTGGACCATCCTGTAAAGTCGTTTTTGAGAGGTCTGCTAATGCTATATGTTAGCATTTGCTAATTCATATTCCGGGTCCACCCCCATCGGCCCAGGGTGGTATTGCAAGCATGTCAGCGCACGTCATTTTGGCAACTTTTGAGCCGGTGTTCTGTCGAGTTGGTCTGCCCGTCGACATGATCTGGCTCAGCTGTTATGATGTAATGCAAACCAGCGCTGCGTGTCTCATGGAGGACATGTAGTCTGCGAATTGTTTTAAAAGTTAAATACGAACGAATTAAGATACGAATGTCTCTTTTAATGCAATTTTAGGCAAGATGTTGATGGTTCCGCGTTGTGATATGTGGGTTTTTAGAGTAAGAGTTTCTTGTAAAGTTAGTTTTAAGCAGTCCACTGATCCTGTGAAACTACACTGCTAGTGTGCCCAAATCTGACTTGCGCATGCACGGAAACCCGCCAGAATGGGGAAAAAACAAATTAAATATTTCGTTTGAACACACTAATATATCCATCCATCCATCCATTTTCTACCCTTTAATCCATTTCTGGGTCAGGGGGGTGGCAATCAGAGATGCCACCCAAGTCTCATAGCACCAGCCCCTCACTGACCCTCTGCAGGTGGTGAGTCCACAGGAGAACGGCTGCTCTCTGAGTGTGAGCATAGCCATGATCTTTCAGTGGGGGCTTTGGGCAAAGTGGGGTTAAGTGTCTTGCCCAAGGACACAACGACAGCAGTCATCAGTGGGAGTCGGTGGAGAAGGTGCAGAGGTGGGAATTGAACCCACAACCTTCTGGCCTTAAGGCCAATGCTACACTAATATCAATCAAATCAATCAAATTTATTTATAAAGCACAATTCATACAGTGTAACCCAAAGTGCTTCACAAGCAAAAAAACAGTGTATATGCATATAAAATATTGTAATAAAAAGTTAAAAGTTACGAACATTTAAAAAATAAATACTTCAGATTAGTCATATGCATACCTGAATAAGACAGTTTTCAGCCTGGACTTAAACATTGCCAGGGTCGAGGCCTGTCTCACAAGCTCAGGGAGACTGTTCCAAATTCTGGCTGCATAAATTTGAAATGCCGCCTCCCCATGTCCAGTCCTGACCCTAGGCACCAGCAGGAGGCCAGTCCCTGTGCTCCGCAGTGTCCTAGCCGGCTCATATGGCGCTAACATTTCTCGAATATACTGTGGTGCGAGGCCATGAAGAGACTTATACACAAGTAGAGCTGCTTTAAAATCAACTCTCTGAGCCACAGGAAGCCAGTGCAGAGACTTAAGAACTGGACTAATGTGGTCGTACTTCCTGGTTCCAGTCAGGACTCGAGCCGCTGCATTTTGGATGTACTGCAGCTGCTTTACAGCCTGTTTGGAGAGACCTGTGAACAGGCCATTACAGTAGTCTAACCTACTGGAGACAAAAGCATGGATAAGTCTTTCTAAGTCAGGTTTAGACACAATACCTTTGATTCTGGAAATGTTTTTTAAATGATAAAAAGCCACTGATGTTATTGAATTTATGTGCCGCTGAAAATTCAGCTCTGTGTCCAGGACTACCCCAAGATTTCTAACCTGATTTACAGGTTTCAGGGAGAGAGACTGCAGGTAACTGGTGACAGTTTCTCTTTGCTTCTGAGGTCCAAAGACAATTGTTTCTGTTTTATCCGAATTAAGTTGCAGAAAATTGCTTTGCATCCACACACCGATTTGCTGGATACAATGGCAGAGTGAGTCCAATGGTCCATATTCTCCTGAAGTTAGTGAGACGTAGAGCTGAGTATCATCAGCATAATTGTGGTAAGAAACATTTTCATTGTGAATTAACTGGCCAAGTGGTAACATGTAAAGATTATATAACAGAGGTCCTAGGATTGACCCCTGTGGTACTCCACAAGTCAAGGCAATATAATCATATTGAATACAATATGATATATGCATAAAATTTAATTTATTATTTCCATTATCAACCCGACAGACCAGTCACAGGACGCGTCATGGGCCTGACGTATGCAGCAGTCAACTCAGGGACTGCGATCACACAGCAGCAGTGTAGTTTCACAGGAGCAGTGGACTGCTTAAAACAAACTTTACACGAAACTCTTACTCTTAAAACACACATATCACAACGCGGAACCATCAAAATCTTGCCTCAAATTGCATTAAAAGTGACATTCATGTCTTAATTCGTTTGTATTTAACTTTTAAAGCAATTTTGCCATCTTGGATTGCTTTGGCTGCCGTGAGACGCGCATGCGCAGTTTTGCATTACATCATTAACAGCTGATCCACATCATCTCGACGGGCAGACCAACTCGACAGAACACTGGGACCTGCCCCCACTGATCTGTATACAGTCCATGTTAGCATTGTCCATTTTTTTACAGTCTATGTTAGCATTGCCCATCTGTATGGGCAGCACGGTGGCTGAGTGGATAGCATCTCTCAGCAAGAAGGTCCTGGGTTCAAATCCCGGTCGGACCAGGGCCTTTCTGAGTGGAGTTTGCATGTTCTCCCCGTGTCTGCGTAGGTTTCCTCCGGGCAGTCCGGTTTCCCCTACCAATAAAAATATGTCCAATAGTTCTGGCATGCGCCTCCTGTACTGGCGACCCATCTCTGTGTGGAGTGAGAGACAAATGCCCAAAAATTAACAATTGTAAACCGCTTTGAGACTCAGATCTGCAGTGAAAAGGCGGTATATAAATAAAGATTACTTACTTACTACTGTATCATGGATCAATTATAGCTCACTAGCTTGGAGCTGAAGAACCCATGTGCTTGCGGGATTCTTGCGGTACTCAGTGGGGGCGGGTCCCTGCTCAAAAGTGGCCAAAATGATGTGTGCTCACATTCTTGCAATACCACCCCGGGCCGATGGGGGTGGACCCGGAATAAGAATTAGCCCATGCTAACATATAGCATCTTCTTACCTCTCAAAAACGACTTTACAGGATGGTCCAAAAGTTGGCTCTTGGCCCAAAGCTCAGTTCCACATGTGTGTCAATGCTGAGAGGAGTAAATTTTTTTGGACCACTCTAGTTTACTCGCTGTGAATTTTTGAAGTCACTCATTTAAATGAATGGGGCTCGTGCCGGCTGACGCATGCGCAGATGCGTTTTTTTCACATTTTCCAGCCCCCGCGGCCATTTACAATCGCTCCATGAGAGCCCAATTTTTGGCCCATTAGTTAGAACGGCAGAGATAGGCGTGACTACGTCCGTTAATATATACAGTCTATGGCGGTACTGCATACCTTCTTGCATGGACAAGACTAAATTCACGTGGGCTCTTTCCTCATTCATTCAAGGATTGAGGAAAGCTCTCTGAGTAGCCGGTCGAAATACGACCGATTGTAGTCGCTAACATGGGGACCAGAACCAGACGCTACAGTACATGCAGTGAAATGATGATTGAGCGGAGTATCTGTGAAACGATTCAAAGGTAATAATTTAGTCTAGTACGCTGTTGTTACAAGGAGTTCCGCTAGTTGCTAACAAAATTAGCCTTAGCTTCTTGTTGCTAACGCGGGAAAAGTGGAAAAGCGTAGAATACTAGCAAGGCTTGAGGAAAGACGTGCCCTGGTCTTATTTTTATTCTATCCCCTTTTCAGGGCTATTATATGTACAGTCTATGGCATTTCACTGTTACCTCTTTGATGTGCAGAAAGTCCTTGGCATCGAAGGAGATGGCGGTTGCAGGGACTGGCACATCCTCGTCCAGAGCACCGCAGTAGCTCACGTTTGTTCTGACGGCGAACGCCACAGGTTTCGTCTGAGAAAAAAAAAAGATACAAGTGATGGGTCCCAACTTTTCACAACTAATCCCACTTATGGTCCCAAGTATCGGAAGATTATGAAGTAAATATTCCATTTGAGCTATAAGATATAATTCAGTATATTCAGTCCCCGTCCTACAGCCTCAGTCCTTGCTCTACAGCCTCTGTCCTGGATCCATAGCCTCAGTCCTGGATCTACAGCCCCAGTATTGGATCTACAACCTGAGTCATGGATCTATGTCAGGGGTCTATGTTAAAGCGACAAAAAAAAGATTTAACTGAAAATTTTCTCATGGAAATTTATCACATGCTGTAGATCACAGACATGGCCCGTCATAGCAAGCCTAGTCTCAGTTGTCGCTGATGCACCAGGTAAAGATGAAGTGTGTGAAAGTGCACAAACAGCTGCCTTGTGTGCAGTTTTGAGTTGGTAGCGAATCAAAACTTTTTTCCCATTACTCCTATATAAACATTTTCTATGGCAAAGTACGCACATACAAGCACCTGCCACCTTCATTTTTTTGCACCATGACCGCAACGGAATCCCATCGTCTCCCACCTCATCAAGCCATGGCCACCTCCATTTATTTTTCACTCCGTTATCAATTGCAACTTGTGCTCCTCCTTCCATAACCGCTTGTATCCGCGATCTCGTTCTTTCGGTCATTACCCAAAGCTCATGACCATAGGTGAGGGAGGGAACGAAGATTGACCGGTAAATCGAAAGCTTTGCCTTTCGGCTCAGCTCCCTCTTTACCACAACGGTCCGATACAGCGATCGCATCACTGCGCACGCTGCACCGATCCGCCTATCAATCTCACGATCCATTCTTCCCTCACTCGTGAACAAGAACCCGAGATACTTGAACTCCTCCACTTGAGGAAGGACCTCTCCACCCACCTGTAGAGGGCAAGGCACCTTTTTCCGGTCGAGCACCATGGCCTCGGATTTGGAGGTAATGAATCTCATCCCAGCCGCTTCACACTCGGCTGCAAACTGCCCCAGTGCATGCTGCAGGTCCTGGTTCGTTGGAGCCAACAGGACAACATCGTCTGCAAACAGCAGAGACGAAATCCTGTGGTCTCCGAACCGGACCCCCTCCGACCCCTGGCTGCGTCTAGAAATTCTGTCCATAAACACAGTGAACAGAACCGGTGACAAAGGGCAGCCTTGGTTCGGAGGCCAACATTCACCGGGAACAGGTCTGACTTACTGCCGGCAATGCGAACACAGCTCTGACTCCGGTCATACAGTGATCGGATGGCCCTCGGCAGAGGACCTCCGACCCCGTACTCCCGGAGAACCCCCCAAAGGACACCCCGGGGAACACAGTTGAACGCCTTCTCCAAATCCACAAAGCACATGTGGACAGGTTGGGCGAACTCGCATGACCCTCAAGTATCCGATGGAGAGTATAGAGCTGGTCCGCGACCGGGACGAAAACCACACTGCTCCTCCTGAATTCGAGATTCGACCATCGGCCCTAGCCTCCTCTCCAGTACCTTGAAGTAGACCTTACCGGGGGGTCTGAGGAGTGTGATCCCACGATAATTGGAACACACCCTCCGGTCCCCCTTCTTGTAGAGAGGGACCACCACCCCGGTCTTCCACTTCATTGGCACCGCCCCCGATCGCCACGCGATGTTGCAGAGACGTGTCAGCCAAGACAGTCCTACAACATTCAGAGACTTTAGATAATCAGGACGGATCTCATCCACACCCGGAGCCTTGCCACCAAGGAGGCTGCCAACCACCTTGGTGACCTCAGCCAGGGAGATGGATGTATCCGCCCCAACATCCTCAGCTTCTGCCTCTGTAACGGAGGACGAGACGGGGGGATTGAGGAGAACCTCAAAGTATTCCTTCCACCGCCCGACAATATCCCCAGTCGAGGTCAGCAGCTCTCCACCCGCACCGTACATGGTGTTGGTAAAGAACTGCTTCCCCCTCCTGAGGCGCCGGATGGTTTGCCAGAATCTCTTCGAGGCCGACCGATAGTCATGCTCCATGGATTCTCCGAACTCCTCCCAGGGTTTTTGCCTCTGCAACAGCCCGGGCCGCGGCACGCTTGGCCTGCCGGTACTGGACAGCTGCCTCAGGAGTCCCCCGAACGATAATAATCATATTTTGTTTATTATTTTCAAAATAAACTTCAGTTCAATTTTATGAATGCCGAAAGGATTATTTTATGACTGCAAATTAAATAGTTCCCAAAGGTTTTCCCGTGGCTATGCGAGTAACAGTTATGCTAGCAACTTCCAAACTACAACTTTCTTGCACTGCATGAAAACTGAACAAAGAATTCGGAACATCAGCGGTGAGTGACCCATACATAAACTCAACCTAAATCTATAATTTGATCCTCTGCGAATGTGTCCTAAAATGTCCCGGAATGTACTTTCGTGTTTATCGCGATCGTTTTTCTCGTGAAATTTTTGTCATGAAAACGTTAACAGATCATTCTGAAAACCTCCTTGCATGTATATTTAGAATGTATATGTATAATGTATTCTCCGATTAACATTTAAATGTTTTGATTGGTTGGTATTTACGTTTATGGAGCGTGGCTAGCTCCGATAGCTTCTCTCGCAGAGACAGTAGAACCGACGAAGTGGCCGGACTATTTGCATAGTAATCTACACACCTGAATTACCAGCAGAGATTGCGTTGCCATGGGCAGCAACCATTAAGGCGCGTTCAGACCAAAAGCTTCAAAAAGCTTTTGACGCGCTTCAACTGACAGCTGGTTATTTTTGTCACTTTGGTGCTTGAAGCTTTTGACGCGAGTGACGCGCCTGACGCCGGTGGGAGGAGCTTCTCTGTTGCTCGAGTCAGGACAGCGGTGGATTTCCAGAGAGCAGCGAGCCTTTATTTGTTATATAAAGCAAAATAAAGTTGTCGTGGGGTTTCTACAATACATGTTCTGGGTTCACCACAGACAGAGGCTGCAGTGTTTGCAGAGTTCCGTCATTTACTCCAGGAGCTCCGTACGGAGGAGTTTCGCTTTCAGCGGTACTTCCGCGTGTAACTCGCCCAGTCTGAGTTCCCAAACCCCAAAGCTCGCCTCTCCCCGCCTCGCTCTTGCCTCTCCCCGGCTCTTTCGCTCCCCTCTACCCACGTCTCGCTCGCCTCTCCTTGCCTCTCCCCGCCTGGAGCTCTCCTCTGCCCGCCTGGAGCTGCTTCGCTCCCGCTCTGAGCCAGACTCATCGTCAGCTTGTTCTTATATTAAATAAATTACTTATACTTCACAGCATGTGTACAATGATTGTTGTTGCTCACTTAAGAACGTTACTACTCATACAAATAATATTACTGATAACAATAATGACAATAAAACATGACTTCTCTCCATGACAGAGACAGACCCACAGCTGCTGCTGCTGCTCCTCGTCTCCTGATTGGTTGAAGCCCGCGTCAAAGCTTCAAAAGCTCAGCTTTGCTCAACTTCGGCGTCAAAGGGATTGTTTTGATACGCGAGCGTTACGCGCGTCAAAAGCTTCAAATGAGCGTGTATTACTCGTGACTTTTGACGCGCGCCAAGTGACGCCAGGGCTCTCGGCTTCACCTGACGCGCTTCACCATTCCCTTTCAATGCAAACCTGACGCTTTTGAAGTCGAAGTTAAGTCCGGTCTGAACGCGCCTTTATTGTTAGGTCATAGAGGTCAGTTATCAAGAAAAAATGACCGGTAGAACATTTTGAAATTACATTCAAATGAATGGAGTGTTCTACTGCTGCTATGAGGAGCTGTGTCATAAATAGATATATATAACAGATGCACACGTATATGTATTAATGTATATTTTTATAATGAACCATTTTATCGTGTGTATTATTATAATATATATATATATATATTTTTTTTTTTTTTTTTCAGACCAATTTTATTTGAGGGAAATCCGTCACCCTTACGGAACTCTTTAAGCCCTGATCTATGTGTGTGTGTAAATGGTTGGTGGTGGTCGGAGGGGCCAATGGCACATACTGCTTGCCTCGCCTCTGTCAGTGTGTCCCAGGGCAGCTGTGGCTACAGTAGTAGTTTATCACCACTGTGTATGGAGTGAATGCATAATGACATGTGAAGCGTCTTTGAGTGTCCAAAAAAGCGCTATATAAAACCGATGCATTATTATTATTATTATAGCCTCAGTCCTGGATCTACGGCCTAGTCCATTGTATTCTTACCTTGGCTCTCTCCAGCTGTACGGCGGCTTGCTGCTCTCTCTCCTGCCGGCTCTGTCCTGGACCCTGGATCTGGGCCGGACTCTGGGCCTGGACCGGGGCCTGGACCAGGTCTCGCTCCTCCTCCAGAGAGACATCGGAGTCTGAGGGTCGGCTGGTGTAAGAGTCCGCGGAGCCCTGAGGACGACAACATCACAATGGGATCAGCGATGATCAAACCACAGTTATACAGGTTATGACATTGTACCGAGTTGTAAGTCACATCAGAAGAGGTTGCAGTCATGTGGCATCACAATTGTTTGAAGAGCTTATAGTTTCACATTCTGTTAAAGGCAGAACATCTGTCGTGATTATCGTGAGTGTGAAAAATTGGCCAAAAACTGTCACAAAGTCCCACATCTTTATCGTGTCTCTCTCTGCTCTCTTACTGGTCTTTACCTCTGGTCTCTCTTGGGTCAATCTCAGACCTCTCTCTGGTATCTCTCTGGGGTCTCTCTGGTCTCGCTCTGATCTCTCTCTGGCAAGGGCGAAGCAAGGCCATTATTAGATAGAGCAAAAAAAATTTTAAAAACACATTTAGATACAAGTTATGTCTAATATAAATAATGTTATTGTTTTGTAATGTTTTTGCTACCACCCATTTTCAAATGTCTCGAGTCATTCCATCTAATGCAGTATGTGTGATTACCTACAGTAGCTAGCTCTGTAATCTTCATTACTGTCATTTGATCAAGTAGTATACTAGTATGTCTGTGTTGTGATAGCTTCGTTATATTTACAATAGTGAATGCAACTCCATACTGAAAAACACATACACTGTATTTTTGCTTGTAGGCAGCACTTTGCAGCAAAGATGGATATTAGACCGTTTTTCAAAGGGAAAGCTTCAGGTGAGGGTTGTGTCATTTTTAGGGAAACAAATAGTATAAAGCTGTGATTCTAAAAGTGGGGTACGCGTACCTCGTGGGGTATGCCAAAGAATGACAGATTTTTATTGTTTTTTTATCCAGGAAAGTACCATATAGATTAACTCATTCTCAGTGACATCAATTGACTTCAACATTGTTTTTCAATCTTGTCCTGTCCTTCTGTGTCCCCTGTATCATATATGTCTGGGGTTTGGCTGTAGACAGTATTTTATTAAGCCAGCAGGTGGCAGCAGAGCTCTGTGGGTGTCTTGTCCTGAGCACTCTGAGCAGGAGAGACAGAGGTGAAGCAGGCATGAAGTAATATAGTCAGGGTCAGGCTATATGGAGGCGGTTTGAGCAGTAAATGCGTCTCCAGAGCTGACACAGACCATGTGGAACGCACATACATACACGTCCAAACACACAAAGAAACACAACAGTATTCTATTGCACTTATAGTATATTGTCTGTTCACTTTGATTTATTGTCATTTATAGTGTTTATCATTGTAATTTTGCTTATCTCTGATTTACTCTTATTGACATTAATATAGCACCACCTAATGGATGAATACTGGCCATTCTTTCTGGGATAGTTTGTCATGGGCTCTACTTTCAATATTTACATTTTGAAATATTTGAACAACACTTTGTGGATGTGGCCATAAAACATTAATTTGCTTGAAAAACTCTTTCTCATAACTTGTTGCTGTTTTCTAACATGTAAGATCCTGGACATGTTTGAGGAGATGCTAAAGTTAAACTAAATAGTGTTACAGTCCTTTTTCTGCAGGTTCGTCACCTCATTTTCTCAGCTTTTTGTCTAAGACTGCTTTTTGTCTCACTCCCCTCTTTTCGACTGGAGATCATAGAGAACGAAACAAGCTAAAAAAATAACACACAATATTCTGTGAGTCTTAAAAATCAGTGAAGTCATCAAAAATAGCTGGCAGTCAATGAGAACCTCTTTTTCTAGGGAGTCCTGTACAAAATGTACATACAATTACAGATTATAAAATAGTCACATAAAATTACTGATTATAAAAACAGTTACATTTCACTGAAGATGTCTCAAGTGCTCTCAATCTGGGTCTGAAAGCATTCAATGAAATACAGTCAGATCATTTCCAGTCTTTTTGCAACACGTTCCATGTAGAAGGAGCAGCATATACAAAAGCTTCTTTAGGAATGAAACCTTTGCCTTGTTTTTGATGAATACTTTGATGAAGGCTTATTACGCTACTGTGTGGTGTTGGTCATTTGTGGTGGTACTCGGAGAGGCAAGTATTTTCTGAGGGGGTACTCGGTGTAAAAAGTTTGAGAACCACTGGTATAAAGGACAGTAACTGGCTTAAATTAATCTGTGTGTCCTGATATAACACACTGTGGTTGCATTTAGTGGTCAGGTTAGAATATACTGCTGTGATCTCAATCAGAGGCTCAGAGTATTTGTAAAACTGCACCCTTTAGTTTGATCCCAGTCATGCTGAATCATATTTGTCAGAATCCAGTTTTTTGTGATCTGACCTTAAGGTTTAAGTTAATAGGTGCTATATTTACTTCAGAGTTTACTCCATGCGTATTAAATGTGTCTTTTGGTTGACAGCAGTTAAAGGGAAGAAGGATAATGATCAGGGGAAGAGTGAGGGAGAGGAGCAGGTAAGATACTAACAACACCAACACGTATCAATGTCAGAAAACTATAATACAAATGTTGAGTTTCCAATCATGAGTTTTGTGAGTGATGGAATTATAATTATATCTTTATTTCCTTTGAGGGCGGTGTTTGAAGCTAGGGTCTTGTAATCATTTTCTTACAAATCGGAGCACAACATGCTATATTTATCTTATTAGAAATCATAATGTATTTTGCATACAGAGAAAGAATTCAGTCATGGTTTATTGCATCATGCTGCAGTTTTTTTGTTTTGTGCTACATTTCAGTTCCCCGAAGTTCCGAATTTATGGTAAGATAACCTGTTTCTTGTATCTAATTTTGCAGTTTTTTTGCAGTCGATTTTCTTTATGTTTTATGGTACTGTTCTTATAAATAACTATAAATAAGTCATATGCATAAATTTCTTCTAATGATCTCATTGAAGTTAAATTTTCGTCATATTGAAATCCCATCTACATATGTAGGCCTACATATATGGGTCCCCATGGCCCAACCCACCCCAAGGTGCTGAAGCTGAAAGTCTAAAATTGACCTCTGATTTATCTCCGGTCTCTCTCACTGATTTCTCTCTGGTCTCTCTCTCTGGTTTCTCTCTCTCTCTGGTCACTCTCTCTGATCTCTCTCTCTGATCTCGCCCTCAGATCTCTCACTCTCTGGTCTCTCTCTGATGTTTTAATTTACGCTTTTTTTAAATGATTTCTTCATATTGTTATTTTTACTCTTAACAAAACAAGTCTTTTTAATCATACAGGAAAGGTCTCTCTTGGGTCAATCTCTCATACCTCTCTCTGGGGTCTCTCGCTCTGGTCTCTCTCTGGTCTCTTCCTCTGATCTGTCCCTCTCTGGTGTCTCTCTGATGTTTTTATTTACGCTTTTTCAAACTAAATTCTTAATATTGTTATTTTTACTCTGAAAAAACAAGGATTTTCAAACATACAGGAAATGTAAAATCGCATTGCATTGTTGCTCAGAAATACAGTACTTTCCCTAGATTGTGCAGCCTCTAAGTCAAAAATGTCAAATCCTCAAACCTGTATCAATGCTGGTTTGAGTTGTAGACAGTATAAGGTCCTTTGCCTGTGCAGCCTCCCCTCTTCTCCCTCCAACATGCCCCCCCTGCTTCCAATCTAGCTGATACACCTGTTTTCCCCTCCTTAACCGCTGTGGGTGACTATTCAAATCCTGCAGGTTCTAGCCTCTTTGCAATAAGTTTATACATCTTCACAAGGGAAACACGTCATCAATGAGACCTGATTATAAAGACTGAAAAAGACGTGTTGGCACCTCTTCTACAAACAAAAACATGAACACACCTTATTAGTACTTCCAGCAGTTGTTGAAGGTGAAAAAACCCACAATTCGCATAAACCACAGTCAAGATTTAAATTGCAATAAAAACTCACAAAGACTGGAAGTATGCAAGTTATTTGCAAACAACAAAGAGACTAAAGAAAAGAGAAAAATCACTCTCTGTTCTCTGGGATCTCGTTTCTCTCTGGTCTCTGATCTCTCACTGATCGCTCTCTGGTCTCACTCTGGTCTCTCTGTCTAATCTTCTCTGGTCTCACTCTCTCAGATCTCTCTTTCTGGGGTCTCTGGTCTCTCTCTCTGGTCTCCCTCAAATCTCTCTTGGATGTCTTTCTCTGATCTAGCCGTCTCTGGTCTCTCAAGTCTCTCGCTGATGTCTTTCTCTAATCTAGCCCTCTCTGGTCTGTTTGATCTTTTTATCCTTGCTTTTTCAAACTAATTTCTCTATCTTCTTGTTACTCTGAAAAAAAGTATTTTTAAACATACAAGAAATGTAAAATTGCATTGCATTGTTGCTCAGAAATATTTTGCCTTAATCTAAGTCCAAAATTCCAAATCCCCAAACCTTCATTGTTGCTCGTCTGCTCCTGTTTGAGTTGTAGACAGAATTAGGTCTTTTGTATGTCCAGCCTCCCCTCCTCTCCCGTGTCTCTCCCCTCTCCACCTCTCATTCCAGCTGATACAACTGTTTTTCCCTCCCTCTTTGCTGTGGTATTGTAAATTCAAATCTTGCAGGTTCTAACATCTTTACAAGTCGAATTGGCATCTATATTGCTGAAATACTGAAACACAACTCTACAACACAAACACAACTTACAGTGGGGCAAAAAAGTATTTAGTCACCGATTGTGCAAGTTCTATAACTTAAAATAATGACAGAGGTCTGTAATTTTCATCATAGGTACACTTCAATTGTGAGAGACAGAATGTGAAAAAAGAAATCCAGGAATTCACATTGTAGGATTTTTAAATAATTTATTTGTAAATTATGGTGGAAAATAAGTATTTGGTCACTTCAAACAACGAAGATCTCTGGCTCTCACAGATCTGTAACTTCTTCTTTAAGAAGCTCTTCTGTCCTCCTCTCGTTACCTGTATTAATGGCACTTGTTTGAACTCGTTATCTGTATAAAAGACACCTGTCCACAGCCTCAAACAGTCAGACTCCAAACTCCACTATGGCCAAGACCAAAGAGCTATCGAAGGACAAAGAATTGTAGACCGGCACCAGACTGGGAAGAGTGAATCTACAATAGGCAAGCAGCTTGGTGTGACCAAATCAACTGTGGGAGCACTTATCAGAAAATGGATGACATACAAGACCATTGATAATCTCCCTCGATCTGGGGCTCCACGCAAGATCTCATCCCGTGGGGTCAAAATGATCATGAGAACGGTGATCAAAAATCCCAGAACCACACAGGGGGACCTAGTGAATGACCTGCAGAGAGCTGGGACCAAAGTAACAAAGGTTACCATCAGTAACGCACTACGACGACAGGGAATCAAATCCTGCAGTGCCAGACGTGTCTCCCTGCTGAAGCCAGTGCATGTCCAGGCCCGTCTGAAGTTTGCCAGAGAGCACATGGATGATACAGCAGAGGATTGGGAGAATGTCATGTGGTCAGATGAAACCAAAGTAGAACTGTTTGGTATAAACTCAACTTGTCGTGTTTGGAGGAAGAAGATGCAAGTCAGTATGACTTGCATCCCAAGAACACCATACCTACTGTGAAGCATGGAGGTGGAAACGTCATGCTTTGGGCTGTTTTTCTGCTAAGGGGACAGGACGTAAGTTCCGTGTTAAGGAAAGAATGAATGGGGCCATGTATTGTGAGATTTTGAGCCAAAACCTCCTTCCATCAGTGAGAGCTTTGAAGATGAAACGTGGCTGGGTCTTCCAGCATGACAATGATCCCAAACACACCGCCCGGGCAACGAAGGAGTGGCTCCGTAAGAAGCATTTGAAAGTCCTGGAGTCTCCCGACCTTCAACCCCATTGAAAATCTGTGGAGGGAGATCGTTTGACCTCTGTTATTGCCAACAAAGTATAGAGTTGAATTTTTGTTATTGACCAAATACTTATTTTCCACCATAATTTACAAATAAATTCTTTAAAAATCCTACAATGTGAATTCCTGGATTTTTTTTCACATTCTGTCTCTCACAGTTGAAGTGCACCTATGATGAAAATTACAGACCTCTGTCATTATTTTAAGTGGGAGAACTTGCACAATCGGTGGCTGACTAAATACTTTTTTGTCCCACTGTATTCATACTTCCATTTTTGGTGGACGCAATAAAAAAAATCACAAAGACTGAAAGTATTGAAGTTCACATGGGAGATTTTTAGAAGATTTGTCACTGGAACAAGTATCTATAACTGATCTCTCTCTGGTATCTTTCTGGTCCCTCTCTAGCCGGGGTTTCCAGCTTGGTCTCTCTCTGATCTCTCTCTGTCTGGTCTGGGACAGTCCTTGGTAGAGCATTGACCTTTGTGCTTGAAGGTCGTGGGTTCGAGCGCACCACAAGACTTTCTCCACCAACTGATGTCTGCTGTCAGTGTGTCCTTGGCAAGACACTTAACCTCTGGTAGCACCTGATGGCACAATGGGGCGGCTGCGGCTGTAAAGTGCCAAACTGTCATTGTGTCCTTAGGCAAGACACTTCACCCCCATTGCCTAGAATGAGTTGAGTGTGATTGATGGTGGTTGGAGGGGCCATCGGCACATACTGGTTGCCTCGCTTTTGTCAGTGTGCCCCAGGGCAGCTGTAGCTATAGTAGTACTTTATCACCCCTGTGTATGGAGTTAATGAATAATCACATGTTAAGTCTCTTTGAGTGTCCCAAAAGCGCTGTTTAAAAACCGATGCATTATTATTATCATTTTGTCTGTCTCTCTAGTAGTCTCTTTTTCTTGTCTCTCACTGTGGTTTCTGTCTCTGTCTCTCTCTCAGGTGTCTCTCTCTGGTCTTTCAAGTATTTATTTCTCTTGTATCTCTCTCTGGTTTTTCTCTCTGGTTGCTCTCAAATAAAAGATCTTACAAATGACATAGAAATTATATATTTTAGAGAATATACAATAATTCCTTGAGAGAGAAAAAAAACACCAGTTTGTAGTTAAGGTTATCTTAATAGTTAAAGCGAAAGCACAACCAAAGTCATGATTCAAATATGTAAATAAGTAATAGTTAAAATGTCCTCTTCCTGCCCTGTCTAGTAAAAATCTTAAGTCCAAACAAAGCACTTTCTCTGGCGCTAACGACAGTTCAATTAGCGAAGGCCATTAGCCGCCGATCAATGGCACAGCTAAGCACTTCTGTGCGAGCTACGCTAGCAGTTAGCCACGTTTAGCTTAGTGCAGAAAGAGCAGAGGAAAGCAGACTGGAGAATTATGAGGAAGGGACAGTAAAACGACGTCAGAAAAGTGATGCATCATGGGATTTGTAGTGTGCCAGCAGATTGCATGTGTCTGCTGTTGAATCTAGTTAGCTGGGGTATCTAACTTTCAAATCCCAAAAGATATAAGAAATATGTCATATAGCTAGCTTCTTGCTCTAAACGTGTAAATCATATAGGAATTTTTTTTAAATACATTTTATCTTCTGTAATGTAAAAAAAATCCTGTGGACTAGTGTTGAAAATAGTCAAATAGTGACTCACAGTGCTTTCTTACACAATAGATATGATTTCTAATAATGTTTTAGTCTGGTTTTACTTTTATTTTATCTTTTCATCTTATCACATCAATGAATGCTCGTTCATTGTTGAATCATGATTAAATCTATCTCACTATGAAACTCTTCAGGAGATGGAAAAAATATTAAACTGTCAAAGGCTGAAACTGAGACTTGAAGAGAAGGTCCCACATAACAGAACACATGTGTTTGATTGTATAATATAACATTTCATAATATATGTATAATGTGTGTATAATATGGGGCGACAGTGCTCAGATGGTAGAGCATTGGCCTTTGAGCCTGAAGGTTGTGGGTTCGAGCCCACACCACAAGACCTACTTCACGACTCCCACTGATGACTGCTGTCGTTGTGTCCTTGGGCAAGACACTTAACCCCACTTTGCTTGAAGCGCCCACTGAAAGATCTCAGCTCCTGTGGACTTAGCACCTGCAGGAGGATCAGTGAGGGGCTGGTGCTATGTGGACTGGGTGCAGCTCTGACTGCCACCCCCCCAGACCCAAAGATGGATTAGGGGAAGATAATGGATGGATGTATAATATTATGTATTTAAAGTGATTATAATATTTATTCATGTGTTGTAATATGTTAAATGTTAAATAATATTTTTATTTTTTTATAACATGTTTATCATATTATATCAATATTTTTTATGATATTTTTTATATACAATTTTATTATTTAGAATATTCAAAATAGTAAATTGTTAGGTTATAATCCTCTCATTGTTAAAAAATATATACATTATGTAAAAAAATCATTTTTGATTTACTGAAGTTGTTTGAAGCAAATGCTTGAAAGTATTGAACTGTTTCCTTCTGTTTTGATCCCTATTACAAACACACAACGTCACAACCAGGACATTTCTCACTATAATTACATCTCAAAGCCTTTCATTCAAATACAGCCTTTTATGTTGACTTTTTGTCTGTTTTTGATGCATTGTTGTCGCTGTCGCCTCATGTGAGTCATCTGCCTTAATGACCTCACGACGCTTCCAGCTCCACACGTCAGCACGCAAATCACGCTCCAGTGAAAACGAAGAGAAAACACATCCACAATAGCCCTGACTTTTATGTAATAACATGTAATAACACTAAATACATTCTAAATACATATTTGACAAATAAACAGACCGGTTTTGAATTGCTGTAGACTTTAAAAGGAGAAGAGCAGAACGAGAATGCAGCTGTTTGACCAAACTGGCAATTTGTAAGCTTTAAAAAAAGAGGAAATTCACGAGTAGGCATTAGGTTTAGTCCTGGTTGCAGTCATTTCATGCTGAAATTTTAAATGAAGTAATCCTGGTCTAGTCCCACAAGAGGGCTTTTCCATTAGATCTTTTAGTCCTGGTTTTATACTGGTTTATTCCTGGGTTATTCCTGGTTTAGTCCTTGTCCTCATCTATAGTCTCACAAGCGGGCTGTTTAAGTAATGATTTAATTTGAGATTCTAAAAAAATATATGATACATATTTATCCATTCTTATGCAATATATCTCCATTTCAAACAACTAAACTACCATTTAATTACAAGAAAAGTGAGTATTGTTTCATATTTCCTCTATAAGTTCCCACCAAAACAGATTTTCAAAACTATAACTTTTGTAAACCTGCTTCATAAAAAATGCTTCACCTAGTCTTAAATTCCCAGTTTAGTCCGTGTGCTTTAGACCTGCTTCAGTATTGGCTTTAGTCCTAGCTTTGGTCCTTGCTTTAGTCCTGCTCTGAGCCCTGAAATCCCATGGTTTGCTAAGTTAAGTCCCTTACTTTGCTGAAATATCATATATGTTCAACTCCTCGTCTTAGCAAAACCCTTGTTTAGTTCCACAAAAGATCCAATCTATAAGTTGTTATAGACCTGGTCCAGTCCTGGTTTGGTCACTACAAGAATGCCACTCTAGAAGCTGTTTTAGGGTTTAGTGCCTAATATAATACATGTATCATATCTAACCATTCCTGGTTCAGTCCTTGCTATCATCACCTCTCCTCGTACATCCTTTACACCCTAGTTTGGCCCTGGTTTAGCACTGGTTTTGCCCTGTTATAGCCCATTCTAGCCTCATTCCCCCTCCCTTCAACACCCCCGTGTCCAACATCCCTTCCGCTCGCTTTGCTCCTTTCCCCGCTTTTTACGTCCCATTCTCGCCGCTGTTTTCTGCACGATTTGTCCCATTGTACCAAATTCCACCAGCAACCACTGCTCCTCGCTCTCACGTCATGCTAATGCCTGTCCACCCCCTCCCCCTATCTAGCGCACTCACCCACCCATCACCACTACCAATTCAAGCACCTCCTAAGAAAGCCACAGGCCGAGAGACAAACACAAATAAACAGAGAAAAAAACAAAACCAAAGCAGATTCCAAACTCACCGCCTCGGAATCTTCAAATCCATGCAGGTACAAATTGTCATACATGGAGTTTACTATTCCAGTGGGCGTTTGTAGACGAAATAGACAGGCTACAACGCATCAAAAATGATTAAAAGCAAATTGGAGGAGGAGATGACGCCGATCTGGTCTCTCCGAATGAAAGCAGAGTCCTCATACATGGATGTAGCGATGTATTCCAAGGCAGAAAAAGGCGAGAAGAACAGCTATGATTGGGAGAATGTGTTGGAAAATCGCTTATATGTCCATTGAGAAAGCTGGGGTATTTTTGAAGGCTTCCCCAAGAGGAAGAGGTTGCATCCTCGAAGCCAGAGGTGCTCTCCAGCATCCAGCCGTGCCAATGATGCGAGCGGAAAGCCGTGCTCCGATTGGTCCAGGGAAAAAAGGGATTTTTTTTTTCTTTTTTTGCAGGGAGGAGGGGGAGGAGTACATGAGGAAGGACCACCATTTTACTCACATAGAGCTGGGTTATTAGCATCACTGGGCTGGGTGGTTTTGGGCTTGGTTTAGACCTGGTTTAGACCTGGTTTAGACCTGTTTTAGACCTGGTTTAGACCTGGTTTGGTCCTGGCTTAGTCCTGGCTTAGTCCAGGCTTAGACCTGGTTTAATCCTATATAGTCCTGGTTTAGACCTGATTTAGTTCTGGTTTGGTCGTGGCTCAGTCCTCTTTTAAACCTGCTTCAGTCCTGCTCTAGACCTGGTTTAGTTCTGCTTCAGTCATCTTCCAACACAGAATGGTCTTACACATGATCTTGAGAATATTTTCTTTGGAAAGGTAAAACAAAAAAATAAGCAGTCCCTGTGTGATGGCTGAGTCTTTTAAAAAGTCCTGATAAAGTCCAATTCAGGTTTTAAATCGCAGTATTAAACAATATTAATTGAGTAAGTTTGTTCATGTGGTCCCTAGACAATATTATCACAGTTCGTCATCACATCATTCATATTTATTTTCCATCTTGTGTTCATTAAAAACAAAGAAGGGTTTTTGATTTTCTGGTATGCATTGTTTTTAAGTTTAAATATAAAAAATCATGTCTATTCTTATTGCACCCGTTTGCTGCATTGAGTTAATGCTGCAGGGTGCTCTCTCTGCTGGACAGTGGGAGTATTGCAAATGTCTGTTCAAACTGGAAATATTTTCAACACCGTTTTTAAAATGTTTTTGTTTCTTCTATCAGTTTAATGTCTGACTGACATAGACAAAAAGAGCAATCTTGTCACCAGTCAAATTGGACAAGGACATTCTTATCAATATATTTTTATGTGTTGGGTATTTTTTAGGTACTGAATAAAGGTTCTCTTGTCTTATCCTATCTCAGGGACAAACCCTTCTCCTAATATTGGTTTCCTTTGTCATTCTATTTTGTAACATTCAAAACTACAGTTAAAAATATTTGTATAAATTACATGTGTGCAGCTCTCTCTACTGGACACAAAGCGCTACTGACCTGTCTGAGGATGAAGCTGGTGGAGGTTGTGCTTCCGTCAGAGCGTTTCAGACGACTCCTGCGAGAGTAGGTGCCTCTGTTCACCTAAACACACATAACTATAACAATAGAATATATAGTTTCTCAAAGTGTAGATAGTCTAAAGCTGGGGTTTCTGCCTTTGGAGTTAATCCCAACAGAAAGAGTAAAAGTAAAATGTTGTGAGCATATCAGACCACAACTTAATCTTATTAGAAGAAAAAAAAAATGTGTGAGAAAGAGTCCTGTGAGTTACTATTTGACACTTTGGGAAAAAAGCTAAAAGGCTGAGACTAAATTAACCAACACTAAAACAAGACTAGAATCAAACAGAATGGGCTCAAATGTGGACAAAACCAAGGTCAAACTTGTAATGAGCTACAATCCTAAACTGGCCTAGTGGATCCTGGGGCTTATAGCTGGGGTGTGTGTGTTTAAAACCCATAAAAACAAGGTAATAAGAATCCATGTCACTAGTTCCTGGCTCTAAAACAATTTGCTTCTATCACTAGTTCATGTGTTTTGGCCTCTTTAGACCAGCTTTTTCAGCCAGAAAGTGAAAGAGAAAAGACCACCCTAACTCAGCTCTCAGCGCAAAGAGTCAAATAGTGACTCACAGGGTTCTTTCTGACACAAAAGATCACATAGCAACTTTAATCTTGTTAGATGGAGAGATGTGTGTGCGTGGGTGGGGGTGTGTGTGTGCGTGTGCATTTGCGAGTGCGTGTGTGTGTGTGTGTGTGCTTTCTCCTTGTGGCTTTCTTCCATTCATTGACATTAATAGCTTTACGTGAAGTCTCTCTGGACCAGCACTAATTATCTAGCTCTGTTTTGACCCCATTTTGGTTCAAACCTCCAGAGGCTCAAATAAAAAATAACCAAAGACCTACTTCCCCAAATCTGACCGAAAACAGGGGCAGCTAACTGGGTCTGTGAGGAGGACTGGAGGTTTTAGGGTTTGAATAGGGTCTAAATAACCAGAAAGGATTTTGTGGAATTATGCCCAAAATAGGACTAAATTTGCCAGATAGGAAGTGGAGTGAAACCAGAGAGAGACAAGAGACCAAAGAGAGAGGCCTAAGAGAGAGAGACCAGTGAGAGACCAGAGAGAGAGACAAATGATACATGTTTAATTGCCAAATCTTCAGAATAAACTAACACAGCATTACTGCTAAGTTATAAGGAAAGTAACTAGAACAGGAGTTCTTAACCTTGTTGGAGGTATCGAACCCCACCAGTTTCATATGCACTTTCACCGTAACCCTTCTTTAGTGAAAAATAAAATAGGATTATTTTGTGTTAAGACATGATTATGTTTTTTTACTGGTGCAGAAAATGAGCCGTCCATGTACAGCACCTTGTTTAAAGAACAAAACACTGATATCTAGTGGACAAATATAATCATTGCCGCTTCTGAATAACAGTACTTGATTCATGTTTCAACTGTAGTTTCAAATTCATACCTCAATAAGATAGCATCCTACTGCAGCAAACATAGATACTATTGTTGTCTATTTTTAAGGATTCCTTAAATTGTAAACCTAAAAACAATTTATAGCAACAAAGGAACTGCACTTTATGCAGATGGATGCACAGTTTTTTATTAAAGTTTTACAACAGTTGTCAGTTTCTTGTTTGGCACCAAAAAAAACCCCTGTGTTGAGACAACTCCTTGTCTCAAGTAAGATCAAGATTTTGAACACAACACAAGACAACACAGTGTTTCGAAACCGTCTGCTTCAGAGAGCGACACAAGTTCTGGAGCGTCGGGATTGTTTGCCCATCACTAGATAATTTGCGTGTGTCCGGACCTCTGCAGCGGAGGCTCTGCCGAACCCCTGAGACTCATCAAACCCATGGGGTTCAATCGAACCCAGATTAAGGACCACTGAACAAGGACAAGGCTCAAATTTGGTCCTATGTAGTAAGCATAACATGCAATTACAGCTTGTTCTGTTGAAAATACATGTATATTTGGTAACTGTATGAGTGTAAAAAACAAAATGAAGAGTTGTATTTCTTACGTGGAAGATGGGAGCCTGGATGCCCTCTCCAATCTTGTTGCGAATGTAAATGTGTCGCGACATTTCGGCCAAAACGTCGGTCCAGAGTCCGGCAGGCTGATCTGGAGCAGCCCAGCGGACAGAGGAGGAGGAACGAGTGCCACGGGGGTCCAGGTCTGGGCTTGGACTAAAACAGAACTGAAGCAGGACTAAATCAGAGACTTAAGCTGATCTGAACCAAGACTGAGAAATAGACCAAACCAGCAGGACTAAGGCAGGTTTAAAGCTGGACTAAACCAGGTCTGTAGCAGGTCTGAAGAAGGAATAAAGCTAGTCTAGAGCAGAGTCTTGGCAGGTGTGAAGCAGCAGAGACTAAAGCTGGACAAAAAAGCAAGTCTAAGTCCAATCAAAACCAAATCCGAACAAAAGCATAAAAGCAGGTTTTACAGCTACGAGGCTAACATGGACAAAAATAGACTCCAGGACTAGGTCTCAACTAATCGCAGACCAGCCAAAGAATAAACCCAGGTCTAAACCAGAACTAAACCAGGTCTTGTTGAGAATAAGTTGAATGAATGAATGACGGATGAGATTGAGAGCAGAGGGAGGGAGCGACAAAGGGGAGGTTATAATAAGCTGTGCTCTGACATAATTAATTCAAACAAGGCTAAAACAAGTCTTGAGGTGGTGTTTCTCAAGCTGTGGGCTGGGCCACAGTTCATAGTATTTCTGAGGTCATGGTGTTACAAATATATTGAGTTATAATTTAACAACATTGATAGAAATGACTAAACATGTGGCCCTGAAGCATAGTTTTGATGTTTATTTTTATTTTTTATTTTTTATTATTGTGAAAAAATAGACAATACAATACAAGTGCAGAAGTATGGACAAATACAACAAGACAGACAGCAGTGTGGATATTCACAAGTGTGTGTGTGTGCGTGCGTGTGTGCATGGGTGCAAGCTCCTATTTTAACAAATTTGTGCATCCACCCATCACCCTCATTGCCCCTATTTTCCCTTCTTATTTGTGTCCCAGTTTGTATACATGTGTCTAAAGTGGTGCATTAAAAAGGAGGTTGTCTACTTGGTGCAGGGGTGCTGTCCAAGGGACTTCTTCCATGTCTCCTGTATCCCTGGCCTTTTTTGTTTGTTTTTGTTTTGTGTTTTTATGTATTATCGTTATTATTATTTCCTGTTTTTCCCTAAGCTTGAGTTATGGTGCATTAAAAACACAGACGAGGGTGGTGGAAGGATTAGGGTCAGCTGTGATTTGATAAGGTGAGTTGGATATGAATGGTCTTACTGAGGGTCAGTTTTGTAGGGTAAGGAATGATAGTGATTATAATGTATGACAACAAGAAGAAACTGTATATTGTGCTTAAACAAAAGGGAAAAAATATGATGATAAATACAGTACTGTGGAAAACAAGAGTAGTGGGCACCAAGATGATGATAATTGTTAAATACAGTGTAAAACAACTTCAGGGAAGAGGGAGACAAAATGGGGACAGACGCAAAATCGCAAGATCAGTGAAAAAACAACTTAAAAAGGTAAAGGGCAACACAATGATGACATGATAGTACTCATACAGTACATATAGTAAAAAAAGGGTTTAAGAGTAGAGGGGTGGGTGTGAGTTGGGGGTGTTGTTTGATGTGGGGGTAGTCATGTGTTTTGAGTGAAGGTGCGTTAAAGGTGCGTTCAGACCAAATGCGTCTTGAGCGTCCAAAGCGTCGGGTTTACATTGACATAACATGGGAGACGCGCGTCTAGGAACGTCAAGAGATCACGCGGCGCGGCACGCGCCTTCCGAACAGCGCGTCTTCGAGCGTTTGGCGCGGCGCGTTTTAGGTGCGTTCAGACCAAACGCATTTTCTGCGGCAAAATCGCGTCTGACGCGCGTCTTGGGATGCTTGTGACAAATTGTGGCAGACGCTGTCACAGAGCATCTTGGAGGCGCGTCACACGCGTCCAGGACACTAGAGGGCAGCGTTCTGGAGGCGCGTCAAGGAAGAGTGTTTTGAGGCAGGCCTGCTCTGTTGTCAACACAACTCGGAGAGGGAAGGACACGGGAGCCAGGATTAAGGTAAAAAGTGTAAAATACGCTTTAATTAGGACATAAAAGTTAATTCTAGGAGGGAGGGGAAATTTGCTTTCTACAGGAAACCCATTTATCCGATACAGAACATCTGAAACTAGGAAAATTATCAGCAGGACAGGTTTATGCCTCATCATTCACCACAGCTAAAAGAGGGGTCGCAATTTTAATAAAGAATAGTTGCTTGTTTATGAAAGAGAAATGTATAATTGATAAAGATGGAAGATATGTATTAGTAATAGGGAAAATCGAAGGTCAATACATAACTTTAATTAATGTCTATAACCCTCCAGGGGAATCCCCAGAGTGCTTGAACAAAATTCTGCAAATATTAATGATTGAAATTAAAGGCATAATGATAATGGGAGGAGATTTTAATTTTGTATTGAACCCAAAGGAAGACTCACAAAGTAAGGTGAAACATAAAGCAAATCAAACAACTAAATTAATGAAAACAGCACAACAAGAATGGGGGATAATCGATGTGTGGCGCAATTTACACCCACAGGAAAAGGCTTTTACTTTCTACTACTCTGATCGCCACAAAATTTACTCAAGACTTGATTACTTCTTCATGTTCAAAACTGAAATCCATAAAGTTACCAAATGTGAAATCCACCCCATAGCCATAGCAGACCATGCCCTGGTCACCTTAGAGATACATCTGAGAGAACACCAGAG